ATTCCTATATAACATTTATATAAAAACTTTCTAACAAAATTTCTATGTAACGAAAACGTATGTGTAAATTTTGTTCATGTCTTGCGGCTCTCAAACAGCTTTATCGTGTGTGGCTCTTACATTAAGCAAGTTTGAGCATCTTTTGAAGGAACCGGAAAGCCAGTCCTAAATATGAAACAAGATTAACAACTCTCTTCAACAGAAAATATATTCACCACTCGTCAGTGACATTTTCGGCAGTTTTCAGATTTTTATTTGTATCAGTTTACGTTTATATAGTAGGAAATATTTACTTCGGTATTTTTTTTATTCTGCTTTTATTTACCTTCTATCGAGGATTAGTTACTTGTTGATAGAGAATCACTTAAGCAGAAATACTCTAACGCAGAGATTCTCAACCGAGCGATCCTCTTAAGTGCCGCGAAATATTGTCAGATATATATATAAATATATATATATATATATGCGTTGGGGGAAGTAGTAATGGTGCAATGCTAGTATTTGAATAAATGAATAAGTATTAAACGTTTTAAAAAATAAATTCTTTTCACTATTCTTGATACATTTTGGATTTCAATACAAAAGGAATATCTCACATTCACTAAAAATGCGTCTCTCAAACATCTGAACTTTATCGTATGTAGCTCTTCCACTAAGCAAGTTTGGCCACCTCTGGTCTATGATTACGCTCCCAGATATTTCTTCAGAGTATCATTAGCTGAGGATAGAATCCTGGCCCTATCGTCACATGTAAATTCGATTAAATATAAGCCAACTCTCTCGTTTCTTTTGATAGCAAATAAGCGTTTGCCTTGCCAAGTCACTGACCCTAAAATCAAGGTCTTTGTCTGTGACGCGTAGAGATTCACAAAGCCACCATTATCGCCTTTTTACCGTTTCCTCCTCTAATTCCTCGTTTTGGCGAGATTTAGTACATCTCAAAACAGTATCCTTGTTGGATTCTTATATAAAACGCATTCTAATACCAGACAGGTTTTTTAATATTATTTTTAACAATTTTGGCTTGGAATTACACCTATTGTTTCACAATTAGTGTAAAGATATTTACTAAGTAACAAGTTCGATCAGAAACTTCCGAGACTCGGCTTAAAAATTCTACTCTATTACCCCAGTAAATATTCTATTTTAATATATTATTTAAGTTTGGTAACAACATAAGATATGTAGATGACACAGTGTTGGCAGCAGGTACAAAAAGAGAACTCCAAAATCTCCAACAGAAGGTAGTTAAGGAAGGCGAGAAAAAAGGACTAAACCCCAATTGCAAGAAGACAGAATGAATGGTCGTTAGCAAAAGGATTATTCTAAACTGCAAATTACAAATCAGAGATACCAAAATTAAACAAGTAAAGAAGTTTAATTATCTGGGAAGTGGACAGAGGACGGAAAGTGTGACACCGAGATCCGAAGTCACATTGGGAAAGTGAAAAAAGTACTAAGAAACAGACAATTTTCGTTAGAAACAAAGAAAAGAGTACTGAAGTGTCACGTGATATCTTGAAACAACAGAAATTTGGTTCTGCAGAAGGACGCTGAGGATACTATGTAACGAATTTGAATCTGAAAAATCAATGTTCAGCAAACATTCTACTCGTTTTTCCGGTTTTGCATCAATAACTAGCATCACAACTTACAGAAATACAGTAAGTCTCTGGCTTACGACGATCTCGACTTACGACGATGCGTAGTTACGACGCAATCGACATTAACCTTATGCATACGCAAAACATTATATAAATTATATTTATATACTCCATGTGTATTTGTAGTCTTAATTATGTTAAAATATGTCATAGAAATGTCCTAGATTAGTAATTTACTATTGGCTTAGCATAAGTCAGTGACGTTAGTGCTTATTCACGCAAAATCGCGGGTACGTTCCGACTTACACGGAAAATCGCGTTACGGCGCATTATAGGAACGGAACTCTGTCGCAAGTCGAAGACCTCTTGTACCTTGATTCTTATGAAACTTATTTGAAGAAATACAGCTGATTCTTTAAAATGTTTATTTTAATTCCATTTTTTTCACGAACTTTTTGAATGCTCTTTGTGTAAAAATAATAAAAAAAATACCGTCTTCGGAAATTCGAACTTGGTTTGACAGTTCCACTTTTCCATTCTGGCAACTGCTACGACAGCCTATTTATTTATTTATTTATTTTTAATAGAAGTGTCAAATAAATCTCCAAGTATAGGAATGCCAAAACTGGTAACGTTGTTTATACCTGCTGAGTCTTCTGATCTATGTTCTGCGTATGGCACAAGGTCAAGCAGAGATTAAAATGGTGGATAAACAAGGCTACGATATTCCAATCTTTCAAGTGACATGTTCGAAAACAAGTAAAAGCCAGGATTCGAAGACTGATTTTCAAGGCAGATTACCGCTTAGAACCATGAATATTAATTCAGAATTTCCTACACCTGCACAATTGATTTTGTAGCTCACCGGGTGCCAACCATTTGTCTAGTTCTATAGTAAGTTTAATTTAATAAATAAAATAAAATCGCGTCCTGGGTATGACGATAAACTACCTCCGCGTCCTGGGTAAGACGATAAACTATGTCCAACAGCAAGGCCTCTGAATAGGAGGTTTTGAGGAGCGTGGAACCACCTCTTAATTGCTGGTGTTCCCAGGTCCACCCTGACCCGGAGTGGTAGCACCAGTTAGGGTCCCAGCTATGGGCAAATAGTTAACTCCGAAACTGTGGTAAAAAGCATTATAAAAGTGTAAAAATAGGTTTTATTACCAGTAATACGTTTTTGAAAAAACAAAAAAACAACAACAAAAAAAACTATTACCAGCAATACGTTTTTGAAAAAAAACTATTACAATTTTGAGAAAAAAAAAATATTTCCAGAAATAGATTTTTGACAAAACAAAAATATTACCAGAAAAAAAAAAAAAAAAAAAAAAAAAAAGTTTTCGGCATTAAATGACCCATTGAGGTTGATATGCCGTAAAACAAAAGAAACCAAACCAAACTAAATCTCATAAAATCCTAGTGAATAATTTGATCCTCTTTGGGTGCCAGACATCGTTAGCCTTGTGCCATACAAAGTGAAACTTAACTGAAAGTAATCTAGTATCATTTAATTCATCACAAAGCAGACCTTGGATTTCTTCCACTTTTGATGAGCGGTTGTCTTGTCACTGAAGATTCTTGTCTTGAACGTCTGTAGAGAATTCGCGTTCACTCCAGATCTCAAGTGGAACTCATCTATACGATCCATCGCTAAAGATACGACAAAAAAATGGTCCTTGCTTTGGACTACACCAGAAAGTACCATGCTTTATCCTTATAAGAGGCAGAGCAGACTACAATGAAGCATTGCTGCCCTCTCTGGTGTAGAGCGACCTAATCCTCACTTTCCAGCCTTGACTGTGTTCAAAAACCTTTCCGCCGTCTCGTGGGCGACTAAGTATTTCCCATTCTACCACCTCTTTCTCACAGACGAAAAGTTTGCTAGCTTTTCATTATTCTCATTTTAATGGCAATTTTAATGCAATGTTATCGTCTGTCTTCTTAATTCTTGTTTTCTCTCCTTAATATTAGTTTTTCTCATATTCTCTAACACTCAGTAACCACTTTGCGTCTTAGTGGCTTTAGTGTTTTGCTTGGGGGGGGGATATTTGGGGAAAAATTCCCTAGTTCCACCAGATGAAACTTTTCTAACTAAGACCCACCATACCACATACACAGTCTTGAATCTTCCTCATTCTCTTCGTATTCCATTGATAAGAAAGAAATTTGTGCAACAGACTCCCGCGTGTATGTTCCCACGATCACTACAACATTTACCTGTCTAAGTCGAGAGTGAACCGTTACCTTCATAATCTGAACTTCTTAACTCTTCTTACGTCTACAAAACAACCCCAGTTAATAACGCTCTACCTTGAGTAGCTCTTAGGGCTTGCATTTATTTACAAAAAACTTTCTTCAGTTTCATGAGAACAGATTTTTCCCCCACAGTATGTTGCCATTTCTTTCTGCAGCAGACCAGTTGCTATCCAAGGCTATAGAACTCGGTCAGTTTTGCTATTTACCCATAGTTGGGAGAAGTGTCTCCCGTTAAGAGTCAATATTTTAAAAGGTCAAATCTCAACATTTGATACAAAGTTTTGTATCTTTAAGAATTTATCTTTACTCGTTTTTGCTTTATTTATTTAGTTCCTTGGTAAAATCTAAAGAAAAATCAGCAATATTATTGGTCCTGTTCTGGCGTCTCGACTTCAGTCACTTTCCCATTCCCGTAAAGTTGCCTCCCTGTGTCTTTTCTATAAATACCTTAATGGTAATTATTCTGATATTCCTCAGGGTACATAGACTCTTTGAATTTAAGCGCAGTAATAGACAGGCGTAGAGGTCTCATCAATTTACAGGTGAGTTGGTCAGATGCAACCGTAAATTCTATGCTAACAGCTTCGCACTTATCAATTTTGGAACTCCCTTCTGGTTTCAACTTCAATAATCAAAAATTTAAATGCAATGTTAATCGCTATCTATTGTCCTCTTGATTGCTCTTTTTTTGTTCTTGTTCCTCATTAATATTTCTCTTTCTAATTCTTCCACACCTAATAACCCCTTCTGTCTCAGTGGCTTTACTGCCTTGCATGGGGTGAGATAGATTAAAAAAAAATCGAAATTGTGTCACAATTCAAACAAACAATTATTTCCGCCACATCTCAATTTTTCAACTCTTTTCAGAGCAATATCGTGTGTTATGGCGATGCTTTGAAGTTGAAACTGACGCGACCCAAGACAATTTCTCAGCTGTTGTCAAGTAAGGATTAATGACTGAAATACCACCGGGGCGACCGTCTAATGCACTTAGGGGGTTAGCAGTCCAAACAAAAGGAACACTGTGAAATACATTAGATCTGAAGAAAAAGCCCCCTCCCCACCAAAAAACCCCACTGACGCTGGCAGAAATGGATAGGGGAAACATTATCTAGAACGGCCCCCCTTCTAATTTAGCATAAACTCTCATTTGTCTATTTATCCCACCCTCTCAAGCACACCCTTCTCGCATACACACACACATACTTCTCTCTCTCTCTCTCTCTCTCTCTCTCTCTCTCTATCTATCTATCTATCTATCTATCTATCTATCTATATATATATGTATTTGCGCTCTCCAGCAGTAAGTAAAAGAAATCTGTCGGATTAATTAAAAAAATCCATTCCTTTCTTTAGAAATTGATTCGTTTACGTTAGGATAGGAAACTTAGCCGATATGTCTATTTCGAGAGTCAGAGAAAAATCTGTGTCTAAAGGGAGTGCAGCTGAAATTTCAAAGCACCCCAGATCTATCTATCTATCTATCTATCTATCTATCTATCTATCTATCTCAGTCTGTTCATATCTATTTCAGTCTGTTCATATCTATCTATCTATCTATCTATCTATCTATCTATCTATCTATCTCAATCTGTTCATATCTATTTCAGTCTGTTCATATCTATCTATCTATCTATCTATCTATCTATCTATCTATCTATCTCAACCTGTTCATATCAACCTATCTATCTGTCTATCTAAACCTGTTCATATCTATCTATCTATCTATCTATCTATCTATCTATCTATCTATCTCAGTCTGTTCATATCTATTTCAGTCTGTTCATATCTATCTATCTATCTATCTATCTATCTATCTATCTATCTCAGTCTGTTCATATCTATCTATCTATCTATCTATCTATCTATCTATCTATCTATCTATCTATCTATCTATCTCAACCTGTTCATATCAACCTATCTATCTGTCTATCTAAACCTGTTCATATCTATCTATCTATCTATCTATCTATCTATCTATCTATCTATCTATCTATCTAAACCTGTTCATATCTATCTATCTATCTATCTATCTATCTATCTATCTATCTATCTATCTGTGTGTGTGTGTGTTTTCTGTCTGAATTTTCCTGATGCGGGGTTATCATTATTTACATTATTTACATGCGGACTATTGTCCTTATCCTTTGTTGTTACCTTCAAAGTGTTTCTGCCATTGTGCCCTCGGCCTTCATCAGGCATGTCCGATCATGTATAGCGAGAAAAGTGTAGTCATCAACCCAGGTGAAAACGAAGCAAAAATACTCGACCGAGAAGAACGCCAGAGATTCAGACATCTGAAAGAATCAGCGTCCATGCTAGGCTATGAAAGCCTCTTTATTAGGGTCTAATATAGAAATAAATACAACATAGAAAGCGTCAATAAAGTATGAGAAATGACAGCAAAGCTTCAGCAGCAGCAGCAGAAATCAGATAAATGGTTAAACACTCCATCTTCTACACGCAGGATTGTCCCACGGGACAATAGCTTAGTGGAATCGTGATATAGTAATTGTTAGTCCAAGCCCTGGAGAGAGCATTTCAATATAAAGTTCAGTCCATCAGGGCGAGCAATAAATAAGTTGATATATTCCCTGAAGGTTACTCGGATTGAGAAACACCCGATGAAGGGCATTTTGATAACAACAACAAAGATAAAGAAAAAAGCTATCATATAAATAATATCATGCCATATATACATATATATAACTTTTGCCACATCAGTATATATATATATATATATATATATAGTCATCCACAGACAGACTGTTTCGCTGTATCACAGCTCGTCAGTGTAACTAGACGTCCAGTTGCTTCAAGCCGGGATCGAAACCCGACTGATTTGACATTAGTCAGATATCTTACCCCTAGGCCATCGTCGCGCAGCAGGGTAGTGGGCGGGGGAATTTTAACGTTTTTTTATGAAATACATCAGCGGCTCGGAGACCTCAATTTAGTTTACTTGAATAGTAATGCTTAATAACAGTAGGAGCCGCTGTTTTTTTACGCCCCCCCCCACTTCCCTAGAGAGCTCAACCGAGCATATATAGTCATCTACACACACATACACACACACATATATATATATTGCTGTTTGACTGTATGTCAGAACACAACTTTTCATACTGCTGAGTTTTCGCACCAGCGTACAAAAATTCGTTGCTGTTTTTTAAAATAAATTTAAAAGACAATATTTAGATATACTCTAACACATATGTGACATTTTCTTTCACTACCTTTCGCCATCATAACTTTGAGAAAGGTATGAATCTGTCTCTTCTTCTTCCATTGGTTTCTAAAGCCTTGGGTGGCAACCAGTCTAGGAGAAGGAAACTCTGAATTCAAAGGCGGATCGCACTATCCTAATAGTGTGTACATACGCATGCGCCTGGAGACCGCTTATGAATTTAAATTCCCAGTGAAACTCCTATTAATGATTTACACGTGTTCGAATGAATCTGACCTCTGTGCTAAGCTTTCGAACAGAGGAGGAGGGTTCATTTGATGGAGCTGGATCAACCACTCCTCGGTGAATGCCGTAACAGGGACACAAGTAGATCAGCTGTGGTTTGACCTGGAACTAGATAGGCTCCACTGGGTTTTATTTGCCCAAGACCTTACTAAAAATATACGAATATACTAATATCTAAAATTATACCAACATCTCTCTTGTTTTCAACCCAGATATATGCAAAGAACGGGTCAGGTGATATGCTGTGCATCAACCCCTTCGACCACCCATGGTCATGGGACTGGTGATGATTATAATGAGCTCAAGTTAACCAAGATTACTTTAAAGTCACCTAAATAGTCATAAGGAAGCGAATTCAACATTTAATAGCGACTGGCTACTGGTTTGTCTGTCTTCGTGCAAGTAATTTGGGACAATATTATCGACAGAAAAATCGTTTTTTTTTTGTTCATCTTTACGGAGCAAAAGAATCCATAAGACACAAGGCTTACGGCCACATCACGCTGAAGACACCAGTTCTTGTACAATCACTGAAGTTAAGCAACATCGATTTTGGTCATTACCTTGCTGGGTAACCGCTTGGGAATACCAGGTGCTGTACGCTTGAATGTGCGGGTGGATAATGGCTCGGAATTGTTAATTAGAGAGCCGAGTTCCAATTCCACTTCGGTTCATTATATTCACTTACGCGCAAATACCCCTGGGAAAGCTATAAATCTACATATCCCCCCAGCTATGGGTTAATTAGTAAAATTTGTATCACTAAATCATTATTACCTCTTCCCAAAAATTCTTGCATTCTAAAAATATTTTCTAGCTTTAAATAACCTATAGAAAAACCCATAGAAAACGAATCACTCAATTAATGGGAATCTTTTATGTATGGAGTGACACTTCTTCCTAGGATCAGTATAGCATCTGTGCAATTTACCTACAATAAAAGTGTTACTTCCTTGTCATCTGCCTAGAATTGGAGAGTAGTACTAAGTGTGACTTTTGTGAAACGTTACATCACATCACATCATGTCATGAATCCTATAATCTACTATTTCTCCAACCACATCTGGGTTAATTACTAAGACTTGAATCGTTAAATCATTACTATCTCTCCCCCACCCGAATATATTCTTACAATCTAAAAATATTTTATGGCTTTAAATAACCTGCAATGGGTTGATAAGCCAGCAATGATATGAATCAATCTTAAGATAGAATATAATTTACTAGACTGACGAGAAATTTTATTCAAATGAGATTAACAGGATATTAAAAATGACATAAAATTGAGATATAAAATTTGATCAGGAATACCATATTAAAATCTCTTTACGATGAATAGAAATGATTCTTTTCTACTTATTCAATATTTACTTGTCTTTCTTTTTATCTTGTTACTGTTGCATAAAGATAAAAGCGTTTACATGCGATTCATCTTGTTTATTTAACGGTCGTAGAATAACGATATGAAAGTTGCTATAAAAAGACAACAAAAACTAAGATGATAGATAAACTATTCAGTTGAGTCATTAATAACGTCTGTCCTTGAAGACCATTTATAAAATCTAAGCATTACTTCAATAAGAGGCGATGAAAAATGGGTAATATACGACAATATTCAACACAAATGGCAGTTGATTGACGAGCATAAATCTCCATAAACTATTGTACGTGTGATGGGAATCGTTGGTCTATTATTAATTTAGAATTATTATCTTAGAACGCACCCCCCCAAAAAACAAAACAAAAAAAAAAAAAACAAGCATACACACACAGGATAAAAAAAACATTGGAATCAGGTTGATTTGATATAAATCACCTGCCATATTTATCTGAATTTTAATCAACCGTTTATTACCCTTTTTGATCGCTGCAAAACATTTTGATGGTAGAAAACATTCTATAATGAAAGCCAGATGAATGAGTTCATTGAAAACCTGCGAAATTTCCACAAAATGTATGGAAGCGCTTCCTGACAAGTGGCAATCAGTAATTACAATCAGTAATTACAATGAGTAATTGCAAAATAATAGTGAATATATAATTGAATATAGTGTAACATTACTTTATTTTTTGAAGAATAAAAAGTTGATAAACAAAACAAAATGATAACTTAATAGTCTAATAGTTTAATAAGAGTGAAACTTGAATAATTCATTAAAGAGAGTCACGGGCGGTGTATTGCCACGGAACCAGGTATTGAATTATGGAAGACAAGAAATAAGACAAATAAAAAAATTGTCAAGTTTAGTTACATAAAGCCATCATCGAAAACAATGTTGCAGTGCCCTAGGCAAAAAAAAACAAACAAACAAAAAAACAAACAAACAAAAAAACAAACAAACAAAAAAACAAACAAACAAAAAAAAACAAAACAAAAAAAAATACTCTGCAAGGTTATTTGATGGATGAGAATTGCATTGTCCTGAGAAGGACAGTTTTCTGTTTGCTGGCGAGCGTTGTCCTGAAAAGGACAACTTTGTAGTTGCTGAAGAGAGTTGTCCTGAAAAAGCCAGTTTTTGCATATATTACTGCTGCCGAGGGTGTCTGGAAAGGGAAGCGTGTTGGAGCTACCTGAAACGGCAAGATTAATGGAGCAACAGGTGCTAGTTACAATTAGTAATTGAAATGAGTAATTGCAAAATAATAGTGAATATATAATTGAATATAGTGTAATATTACTTTATTTTTTGAAGAATAAATAAAGATAAAAAAAACAATATGATAACTTAATAGTCTAGACTGATGGCTAGAGCAACGAACGATGGCCAGCTGAAGAACATGATGGCTGGCTGACTTTAACTCCTGTTGATGCTGGAACAGATACTACACTTCGATCCTCGTCATCTCGGCCACAGAAAGCCTGTTGGTATCTCCCAACTGGGACGGGATGTGACACAAACTCGGTTTTATTGTGGCGAATCCGTGCATAAACCCTCGAGCCAGGTACAAAATTCCTCATTCCAACCCCCAACCCCCGGCAACCGTTCTCCCCTTTAGTGCAATGACGGGGTGCAGCCACAGGCAACTTCTCTTCAGGACCGAGCATCACACTGTATTCATTTTCCTCGTCTGCGTCTGTTTTTTGTTGTTGTCGCTTTAGAGGCATCGTTATATATCCTGAACCAGTCTGTTTAAGGTTTTTCTTTCAGTTGCTTTTAAAAATGTGGGAGTGTCAACAGGATAAGAGATTCGGACAACTTCAGACTATGCCTTATATTGCTACAACTGGATGTAAGCAAGCAACAGCAACAAAATGATGAAAGGAAATAACTTCTAAAAAAGTGACTAATAACAACACTTTACCTATGACATTAGTTGATTATTCTTATTTTCAAATATATAAAAGAAGAGATATGGTACCAATGTTACTTTTTGAAAGCTGTTTGCTATATATAAATCTCAGAATTCTCTCGTTACACGGAACATAAACAGCTGAAAATGGATTGAATTTCACAGACTTGGACAGAGAAACAAGAAGGTCAATAACTTTAACCGAAATAGAAAGAAAACGAGATTTAAAACAAACATCCTCGTCCTAGTTTTCTCGCTACACCATTTTTGCCTATTACTGTTTTTCTATCTTTTTGTATAGAAGAGCTCCAATATTGAATGACAGAGTGACATCTGCATTTTCAATTTACTCTTTTCCAATCGAATCTTTTCCTCCCAAATGCCGTTTTTTTCCCTACGAAATCCCCCATATTTTCCGTCAAAATATTGATTATATTTTCTGTAGCGGAAGTGTTTTCATTATTCAACGTATCTTTGTATTTTTTAACTGCACTGTCATGGACTGTTTATTTTCTTGCCTTCGTATTCTCTAACATTATAAAGTGAAATATAAACATTGTTAGATGAATTGTTTCGACGAGCATACTTATCTTTGTTATTTCGATCACGTTTTTTTTCGGTTGGTGTTGTATTGCGACTTCAGTTGGCGTAAGTCAAGTGTATTACGTTATACACGCTTGAGTAATCATGTCTCTTTCGAGTGATGATTTTCCCGCAGTAGATTGCCGTTGCTTTCTGCAGTAGACTAGTTGCCCAAGCTGTTTTGCTATTCACCACATAGGTGGAGACGAGATGGATTCATACCTTATCCACATTTACGCGTATGTAAATCTAACAAATACGACTGGAATTCGAACACGGCTCTCTGATTTCTCAGCTCAAGCCGATATCCATTGTACATCCGTACGATAGAATAATTTAGAATTCTGCTTAAACCTATTCTCAAGAAAAGCACATAAGGACGATATTTCCGAACCTCTAAGAAAGATTCCCACCATTTATAATTCTCTGGCATTTATCAATCTGTAGAGGACCGTTTGTGTATTTACGTGTTGTTGTATTAGAAACACGAGTGTAACTCGTGGTAGAATATTAAAAGGTCCAACTACATGAAAATTGGCGGACTTAATCCGTCCAACCGAAGATGAAAGAAGGCAAATAAGACTGATATATGTATATATCAACAAATATGAATTAAACAAATTATAAGGCACATAGACATAACATTTGTGTATATGGGAACATTGTGTTTTGTTATTTGGTGAATGTTAGTATTTTGGTGAATGTTCATATTTTGGTGAATGTTTGTAATGTTCATAGCGTTTTCCCAGAAATGGGAAACGCTGATCTTCCAAGAGTTTACATCTTGTCGCTGAAATGAAGAAGAAAGAGAGATTTACATCACCTCCACTCAAGGTGGGATTCGGCACAAAGCCTGAAGAAAAAAAGAGAAAGAGGCAAGAAATATTTATAGTATGGGTAGAGAGACCTCTGGTGAAGAATTAGGGAACTAAGGAGGAGGTAACTCCTACAAATCTTTGTGTTGAGTAAAAATTATCCAATGTGGTTCCCGGGAACAAACAATAGTTTTCAGAGGAACTACTTAGGCATTTTGATAACCATTGTGTTTAATGATAGTATGTCTACAGAATGTCTAACAATAAACACTCCCCGTTTGACTGTTGCGTAAGTAACGTTGCCAAAGAGTTTTGGTTCTAAGAAATGAAAATGTTTGTGTATTTCATTGCCTAGTTGTTCAGTGTTTAATCATATAGTGAGTATGATAGTGTGGTTACATCATAATAATGTCGTATTACCCCATACATGTATGGGGCCTTATTGAAAGGTTGAAAGAATCAACATTTAATATAAGCAAAATAATTTTTATATGTTCTATCGCTATTTCTACGGAAAGTGCTCGGACGAACTGCATTCCCTGGTCCCGCCACTTCAAATCTTCATGGCAAGGAGACGCCATGCCACTTATATAGAAGCAAACTACTCCCATTAATCGATATTCCATCGGCGAGAAGTAAGTTCAATTCTAACATCTTCTCTTCTCGTGAATCACTGTCCAGTGGAACCGACCCCTAAGAAAATGTTACCCCGATCACTACAATCTTAGCCTGTTCAAGGCTAGGGTTAAATGTTATCTTCCACTCCTATCCGCACAAGTTGCCTCCTAACGTAACTCTCTACTTCGAGTGCCCCCACCCCAGGCCTTGTAAAAGGTGATCCTTACTATATATATATATATATATATATATATATATATATATATATATATATAACCAAGTATAGGATTGGTGTATACGGAATAAATTCAAATAACCAAAAATACTATTTTTAAAAGAATGCTCAATACAGAGTAGAGCAAATATAATTTAGTCGAAAATTATAACATAAATATGTTATAAAATCACTACAAAGATAGCCATTTTGTTTCAACACTTCTGGTGTCTTATCAAGTGATGGTGTTTCTACATTCAACACCATCATTTGATAAGACACCAGAAGTGTTGAAACAAAATGACTATTCTTGTCGTAATTTTATAACATATTTATGTTAGAATTTTTAATTTTTTAAATTGTGTATATTTAGGAGGCAATTTTTCACTGATACATGTTTCATTAAATAATATAGACTAGTATATCCAAGTTAATTGTTCGCAATGATTCTTCTCTCCTCCCCGTTAGAGATTTGCAAAAAACCAACGTAATTTACAAATTCAAATGCCCTTTGGAGATTGTATCTCCAATGGATTAAATAATATTTATGTTGGTCACACCACAAACTCACTTTCACGACGCTTGACTCTACATTTGAATGATAACTTTTTACGCATTTAAAACAACATGCCTGGCCGTATAAACAATTACGGAAAATACTCGTTGAAAACACAAATATACTTAAACATGAAAACAATAAACAAAAACTAAAAATTCTTGAAGCTATATATATAAAACAGTTGAAAGCTAATCTGAACAAAATAAACTATGAAATCTCCACAAATATTCTTAAATGCCTATAATTGATAACAGAACTCATTGGTTTATACCAACGGCTTCCCATACTTAATACTTCTCGTTTTCACTCTCGCGTATCAGGTTTGACGTCACGAGCTTCCGCATCTCGTATACACGAGTTAGTCGTTGCTTTGAAATTTTTCATGCAACAAAAACAGATTATCATTATTGCTTCGTCCGTGTGTTGGTTGATATATTGAAAAGTAATTGTCATCTTTGATAATGGCTTATGTAAGGCGAAAGCTTAAATTGGATTTAAACATGTATCAATATGGTGATTTTCATTTCGTCCTTTAACGATAATGTTATTAAGTGTTGTAGAGTAGTTTTCACAATGGAGGCTTGTATTTCACTAAGTCGGTCCTAAAAGGGTTCGACGTATAAAATATTAGGAACTTGAAATAATAATTAATGACGCAGCAATCTAGTTGTGGTCGTTGATACTTCAATGTCCGACATCGACTGACTCACTCAACTCACTCTGCGCCCCCTGGCGACTGCTACTACTACTACTTATTATCTGTGGGAGAGTCTATTAACAATAGAATAGGTATGTTCCGGTATAACATTAAGCTTATCAGACAATATAAAAGAAACTTACTTAAAATAATTAGACAAAATTTCTCTATATTATTTAATGAAACATGTATCAATATATATATATATATATATATATATATATATATATATATATATATATATAAAAAGAATTAATGGCTCTTACTTTTAATCAAACATTTTTAATACGGAGTGCGGCCAGAAAAAAACTCCAGAAATACCTCCTACATAATGTTAAGACATTAGTGTCAATGGTGTCTTCATCTAGCTAATGTCTTGTGCGAGTTATATATGGGAGGTATTTCTGCCGCACACTGTACTTCAAACTTTATGATAGTGTACACCACTTATTTGGAATAGACGTCCCATTTTTGTTTATTAAAAAGAGTGTATTGCGTCCACCAGCCTCACATATTTTCTTTACTTAAAATAAATTTATACTTCGGCAGGAATCGACCCAGAATCCCCTTTTGTAGGTGAAAATACTGTTTATTTCGTCTTGCCTTACAACTCGGCCACGAAAGACGTCAAACTAGGCAAGGCTCTTTTTAGCCTAGAAGGAAAGCACACGCTTCCACTCATTATTTTTCTCGAGATCCCGTATCATCTCAGTTTTGTATCCGAAACGTAAACAAAGCAATTTCTAAAGAATGGATTTTATTTTTAATACGATATTTTTATTACATCAAACGTTATTACAGGGGTGACTTGTTATTTGAAATATGATATAAGGAAAGAGTGATAAGAGTTTAAGAGTTCAAACATAAATGTCCCTGCGCATCCGAAGGAAGTTAATTATGTATACATGTCAGCGTATATGTATTCAGACATCGTAGTGTAAATTGTTTAACTGCGTGTCTGTGTATGCGTGCATATGCGCGACTGTGCGGATCACGCATGAATGTATTATTTTGCTTTTATGTATTTTGCGATGACAGCAGAATAAGAGAATTGATAACAGTCATCTATTCTGATTTAATTCAGAATATTAAATTCCTTATAATCTTGTTGAATTTTGTCGGATGAAACCCATTTTTCATCACCTGCTATATTGAACAAACGGAAGTTACTTATGACTCAGCTTAATATTGCATTATTTTTATATACGTTTCCTGACGAAACGAGAAGCTCCGCTTGGAAATTACAGTTCGATTGATTCGTAAGTTGTTAAGTCAGATCCTGGTTGAGAACAAATGTCATGTCATTGTTGGACCGTTTCTGGCTAGTCCGTCACGATATGACGTCACGTCGATGTTGGGACCGTTTCTGGTTAGTTCGGTAGGATATGATGTCACGTGATTTTTGGGACAGTGATTTTAGTTCGTTGTTGAGTTAGTTTCTGTTTAATTCACTTGGACATAATGTCCTGTCAATGTTGGGACAGTTTCTTTTTCTTTCGCCAGGATATGACGTCACGTCTTTGTTGGGACCATTTCTGGTTAGTCCACCAGGATATGACGTCATATCATTGTTGGGACCTTTTTGTGGTTAGTTCCCAGGATATAACGTCACATACTTTTTGGGGACTGTTTCTAGTTAGTCCGCCAGGATATGACGTCACATTCTTTTTTTGGGACCGTTTCTGGTTATTTCAGCAAGATATGACGTCACATTGTCGGGACCGTTTCTGGTTAGTCCGCCACTATATGACGTCTCTTTTTTCTTGGAACCATTTCTGGTTACTTCTCCAGAATTTCCATACTTGTCGGAATCGTTTCTGATTGGTTCGTAGAAATATGGCTGTTTCGAACAATCTTGAAGACCATGAGTTTCTTTCATTTTTCTTTGTTGAAAGTTTCCCGCTTTTTTTTTGACCCAGCTGATGAACAATGTGGTATGAATGAAGAATTAGATTTACAAGTCGTGTTGTGTTCCAATTGATTTCACATTTATATTGTAAGTCCCTGGTATTGAGAGGTTCTCTATAAAATCCAAATGAGTATCTGCAATATTATTGGGCTTGATCTAGTGTCTCGGCACTGGTGACTTTCCCACCGCCGTAAAGTTTCTTCCCTGCGCCAATTTTCATGGTAGTTGTCCAGATGAGCTCGTCGCCATAGTACCTAGACTTTATCAATTTAACCACAGTACTACAGTGTTCTATAAGTTTTTAGCCACCCTTGATTACAGCAATTTTGGTTTGTTTAATAACGTCTCTTCTTTTTTTTTCAGACAATACCGTGTTAGTATCAAGCTACTCTCATCTATGAACAATAGTTGACTTATATCTTGTAATGAAAGTTTGTGGAAGTAAGGAAATTAGTTATTTTCAACATGGACAAAATAATAGGATGGTATCATTGTGGCAAGTCAAATACAGAAATTGCTAGGTTTTTCCAGGTTAATCATCAAATGGTTAATAATGTTGTCAAGAAATTTAATGAAGAAGGCCATTGTCGTGTGAAACAACGTTCAGGAAGACCAAGCATCGTGTCTGAGCGAACGAAAAGGGCATTGAAGAGGGAAGTCATCAAAAACTATCGTCAGAGCTTCAAAGATGTCGACAACAGCATGGAAATGTTGCCATATGCGGTGAGAAAGACTCTGAAGAAGAGTTGCAAGAAAGAATCCCTTGATTTCAGAGGTTAACAAGAACCTTCGTATGGACTGGGCGAGAGAATTCGAGAGCAAAGATTATGAATTTTGGCAGTCTGTAATTTGGTCAGATGAAAGTAAATTCTGCCAATATTCGAATTCGAGAGTGGTTTATGTTTGGAAAAATCAGAATAAGACTTGGAAGACTTCCTGCAGGCAACCGTGAAACATGGAGGGATTGGAATAATGGTGTGGGACGCTGTCTGGTTTGGAGGGAAATCTTGTTGACGAGCGGTTGAATGGTCCAAAATACTGTCAAATATTAGAGAAAGGACTACTCTCACTATTTGAAACCAATCAGATTGACAAGAATGTCTACCTTTATCAATATCATGCGAGTAGAGTAGCAAAGGCCTGGAAGGAATCGCAAGGAATCAAGTCATTGGCACGGGCAGCCCAAAATCCAGACATGAATCCAATAGAGCACGTTTAAGAGCACCTTGACCGAAGACTTCAAGAGCGTTCAAACAAAATCACGTCAGTGGCAACCCTTAAAGAAACATTGCTAAAGGAGTGGCAAAATATGGATCAGACGATTGTTGATAACTTGATCAAATCTATGAAAAATCGAATACAAGCACTGAAACTAGCAAATGGAGGACCTTCTCTATACTAGTTCCAAATACTGTTTCTTTATGTTGAATATGGATTACGTAATTAAATTTTGAAATTGGATGTAAGTTTATTTGTCCTGGCTGAAATCTTTTCTTAGGCCACTGTAGATTGGTAACAAGATTTCGTCGATTTACTGTTGAATCGGCTCAATGTAACCGTAAGTTCTATGCTAATAGTTTATTTTCTCGCACATATATCTTACGGCCACATCACGTTGAAACACCGGTTGCCGTACGATCAGCGAAGTTAAGCAACATCGAATCAGGTCAATACCTAAATGGGTGACCGCTTGGGGATACCAGGTACTGTAAGCTTGGGTGTGCGGCTGGTGTAATGAATAATGGTTCAAAATTGTTCATCGGAGAGCAGAGTTCCAGTTTGTGGAGCTATCTTCCGGCTCCATGCTTTCCAGCCAACTTTAATCTGCAAAAATTTAAATGTAACGTCATTTCTTATCTTCTCTCTTCTTGATAACTCATCTATTGTTCCCGCTTCTTCATAATGTTTTCTCTTTTCTAATTCTTTCATATCCAGCAATCCCTTACTGGCTTAGTACTTGGGGGGAATTTGACTAAAAAATAGTACGATTCAGTACTAGTCACAATTTCTACTAGAAATCGCTGTATTCAGCTAACTATAATTAGTTGATCCATTCTGGTATAGTTGACTATATCTCTTACCATCCGCCATCGATCGGTGCATATCAAGCCAATGTATTGGTGTGTTGATATTTACCTATTTATGCAACTAGAGGGCTACTGCCAATGACATTTTCTCCACTAGGTGATTTACGCTTTGCCTGCCTTCTACACATTGACCCGTCTGGCTAGGTTGGACATCCTAGGAGATACACACCCTAGCTGAAGAACTCTCCAGATCATACATGCTTATCTATGCCGTTGGAGAATTTTTGTTTGCTTCAAGCTTTTCATCATTGAGATTTCTTCTTCTATGTGACAATGGTTTTATCTGACTCCTATCCATTGACCTGTCTGACACGTTAACCTTCCGCTAGCGTAGCCCTATGGATCATATGAGCCCGCATCCACATCAGGGTACTTAATCATGGAGTCGAATTGTGCGAACAAATCGTTTTTTGTTTTTGTTCGATGAATTATGATATTAAATAGTTCATGTTGTAACTATAATTCCATTAGACCATTTGTGCAAATTAATTGAAACAACCTCTTTAGTTTCCTTTCTTTCACCATACGGTCAGTTTTAGACCCACTGGAGTGACAGGGTGTAATCGATTCCTATTTTTTTTTTACTCAGATTGTTCATTTGCAGTGGTGTGCAGTAATATGAATCTATTTTCTGTGTGCATGATGAATTTTGTTTGACCTTGAAATATATTGCATCAGATTTTAATCACGCCCTGACACTATTGTCTCGACTGTCGATTAGTTGTCCCACGGCCATTGTCTGCGATGGACGTTACTCCAAGAAAGCATACGAACACTGGTAAGCTTTACCAGTGAGCAAATCAAAGTACTATGGATTGGCCCAGAAACTCACCTGATTTAAATCTAATCGAGAATCTGTGGTCAATCTGCAAGGAACGACTTCGTGGAATAAATATACGAAGTACTAGAATGTGAACTGGGTAATGTTTCATTGGGAAAATACAAAAAAGTAAATAATAATGGAATTATTCGTTTTGTTTCAATTAATTCGCAGGAGGGTTGATTCGAATAATTTCGAATTAGTTTATGTCATGGAATAATAAAGAACAAATAGAAAATAAGTTGACTTGAAAGAATTAATGTCTATTTTAAAATAAGAAAGAAAGTGTAGCGTATTTAAGATTTATATATTTGCAAATAAACTCAGTTCAACTATCTAAAACTCTGAGGGGCTGATACTTTTTTTCTTTTCGGTAGAAAATTATATAAAAATTATTATCGCCGGTTCGAATCCTGCCGGAGAACGCATATGTTTTTCCAATAAGATTTTTCGATGACAAATTACCGCACAAGAACTACGCAACCACCCTGACGTTATTGTAAAAAAAGCTGATAAGACCAACATTTTTGTCATCCTAAACAAATTGGATTACAACAAAAAACTTGGCCATATACTCCATGATCACATAAAGTTTAAAAAACTTAAGAACCCGACCAACCAACTAAAATCAAAGCTTAATAAACTTATTAATGCTAATAATGCTGAACAGAACTCCCTAAAATTGTTGGTGATTATAGACCTAGTTACATATACGGCACTATAAAAACACATAAACCTAACTATCCTCTCCGTCCTATCATATCGCAAATTCCAAGTATCATCTAACAAAATACATTAACCAACTTATTACTCCCTACCTTCCTAGTAAATATAGTGTTCAACTTTAGAAGTAATCCAAATCCTAAAAAGTGAAAAACCCGACAATGAAATCATAGCTTCACTTGATGTTGAAAACTTATTTACCAATGTCCCTGTTAGTGAAACTATTGGCATAATTATAAGAAATATATACAGTAACTCATCTTTACCCCCACTTAAAATTAATCCTAATATATTAAGAAAACTACTATTAGCTTGTACTACTGAAGTCCCTTTCTTCGATCATAATAACAATATATATATACAACGTGATGGTGTCTCCATGGGTTCAGTACTGGGTCCGACATTTAGCAATTTCTACATGTCAAACCTCGAAAATAAGATATTTACAGATTTAAAAAAAACATCCACCTACCTAAGATACGTTGATGATATTCTTATGTTAGTTAAAAATACAGATGAAATACTTCAAATTCAAAAACGTTTCCAAAATGATTCTGTCCTTAAATTCACATATGAACTCAATACTAATAATAAAATCCCCTTCCTTGACATATTGATAAACACAAATAATAACAAATTTTCTATTTCGCCATGCAAAAAACCTACAAGCATAAATTCATGTACACTTAACTACAAGAGCGAATGCCCATATTACTAGAAAATAGCAATTATAGAGAATCTAATACATCGTGCAGAAATTAATTCATCCACAAAACAGATTTTTTCCAGTGAACTAAAGAATATAAAACAGACACTTATTAATAATAGCTTTCCAAACTATATAGTTGATGAACAAATAAGATGCTTTCTTAGAGATCTCAATACTAAGCAAATAGTACATAATACTGCTTCTACTGATCTCAAACATATTAATCTCCTATATCGTAATCAAATGCATACTAATTATAAACAAGATGAAAATATACTAAAAAATTTAGTAAATACTAATATATATCAACAACAGATCCTAGCAAAAAAATTAAATTAATAATATACTACACTATATCTACTCTACTATATCTAACTTAATACTTCGCAATGATTCTTCTCCCCCGGTTAGCGATTTGCAAAAAACCAACATAGTTTATAAATTCAAGTGCCCTCTGGGAGAGTGTATCTCCAACGAATTAAATAATATTTATGTTGGTCACACCACAAACCATCTTTCACGACGCTTGACACTACATTTAAATGAAAACTCTAACATTTTTAGGCATTTAAAACAACATGCCTGCCCGCATACACAACTCCGTAAAATACTTGTCGAAAACACAATTATACTTCGACATGAAGACAATAGACAAAAACTAAAAATCCTTGAAGCATTATACATTAAACAGTTGAAACCCAACCTAAACAAAATCAACTGTGGAATCTCTACAAATATCCTTAGATGTCTGTATTTGGTTACGGAGGCCATTGGTTTGTGCCAACGGCTTTCCATACTTCATACTTCTCTAATTCACTCTCGCGTGGTCATGTGTGACGTCATGAGATGCGGTGCAATTTTCGCTTCTAGCGTCTTATATGCACGTATTTATCGTTGCTTAGAGATCATCTATGTAAACACTCACAGACTGTCATCACTGTCTTGTCCGTATATTGCTTAATATGTTGTAATTGACATCTTTGATAATGGCTTAAGTAAGCCGAAAGCTTAGATTGTATTAAAATATATGGATCAATATTGTGAATTTCTTTCTTCATTCAATGATAATGTTGTTAAACTTATTAGACGTTATGAAAAAAAATTACATAAAATAAATAGACAACACTTGTCTATATTATTTAATGAAACGTGTATGAATATATATATATATATATATATATATATATATATATATAAATGTAGAAGTCATAACATAATTTACCTCCTAGAATGCACACTATGCCAGAAACAATATGTAGGAAAATCTGAATGGCCCTTTCACTACAGAATTAATAATTATCGCAATCGAATTAAGTCGACTCCCCATGAAAAATTATTACCTCTGGAACAACATTTCCGCCTAGAAAAACACGATTATAAAACCCATGCCAAATTCACTATAATTGAGAGAATAGAAAAGTTCAGAGCAGATAACATTAGAAAGATTTTAGAGTTCCATGAAAATAAGTGGATACGACGTTTAAAAACGCACTATCCACACGGGCTTAATCACAAATTTAACAACATAGATAGTATTAATATATAACCCCACAAATCCGGACCTACCCACATTTCTCACCCACACAAGACAGATATGCTTACGGAGGTGTTGAGGCCCCACACTTATACACAAACCAACACGAATATACACACTTACACTCATCATACTCACTCACTCCCTAATCAGCCAAATGATAACACACACCCATATTAATATAGACGCTTACACACATCATACTCACGCACTGCCTAAGAACTAAATAACGCACACACTTAACAGAGACACATTCCCTTTCCCGATACCAATAAAACTGTCAAAATGACCAAAGTAATTCACAGCAGCATGAATCCATCCAGCTTTTATCTTAAATAACAACTTAAAAGAGATTGTTTGACCAACACAAGGACTGATCAATATTCATGTTAAAAAATTAAAAAAACAAAAACAAATGAAAACTACAGACAAAAGTTCATTTTCTGCATGAAGACATTCATTTCTGTAGTTCACTGCTACCAGAAAGCAGAAATATTTCTTCTCCTGATGATGGCCATGTTGGCCGAAACTAGTCGAGGAATCTAATTGAAATAATAATAAAAACGAAAGAATATTAATATACAACCCAGTGTGTCTGAAGATTTAAATGTTTTAATATTTTTTATTGTTCAATATATATATATATATATATATATATATATATATATATATATATATATATATATATTGTGTATATTTAGGCAGCAATTTTTCATTAATGCATGTTTTATTAAATAATATAGAGAAGTTTTGTCTATTTATTTTAAGTAAGTTCCTTTCATATTGTCTGATAAGCTTAAAACAACATGCCTGGCCGCGTACACATTTCCGGAAAATCCTTGTTGAAAACACAACTATACTTAAACATGAAAACAATAAACAAAACTAAAAATTCTTGAAGCTATATACATAGAACAGTTGAAACCTAACCTGAACAAAATAAACTACGACATCTCCACAAATATTCTTAAATGCCGATAATTGATAACAGAAGCCATTGGTTCATACCAACGGTTTCCCATACTTAATAATTCTCGTTTTCACTCTCGCGTGGTCATTTGTGGCGTCACGAGCTGCCATGCGATTTTCGCTTCCGCGTCTCGTATACACGAGTTAGTCGTTGCGTTGAAATTTTTTCATGCAACAAAAACAGACTATCATTATTGTTTCGTCCGTGTATTGTTTAATATATTGAAAAGTAATTGTCATCTTTGATAATGGCTTCTGTAAGAAGCCGAAGGCTTAGATTGGATTTAAACATGTATCAATATGGTGATTTCCTTTCGTCTTTCATTGATAACGTTATTAAACATCAGACAATATGAAAGAAAATTACTTAAAATAAATAGACAAAACTTGTCTATATTATTTAATGAAACATGCATTAATAATAATAATAATAATATATATATATATATATATATATATATATATATATATATATCGTCGCAAACTTTTTTTGCCTATTTTAGTTTTCACCGTAGAATTATAAGGGGGTGTTAAATCATTATATATTTCTACTACTAGTTCTATGTTTATTTTGCATTTTATGGTCATCATATATATATATATATATATATATATATATATATATATATATATATATGGTAATCAAATGACAATTGGAAAAAAAATATTACATTTTGCCGACGCGTTTCGTCTTCCGACTTTTCAAAGGCAAAAATGAAATCGAAATGTTTTTGTTGTTATAGTTACATTAAAATTCAAAATTAAAAAAGATAGACGTCGGCAAAATGTAAGATTTTTTTCCAATTGTCATTTGATACCAATCTGTCTTGTCCACAGAATTCATCTGGAATTTAACTTTATATATATATATATATATATATATATATATATATATATATATATATATATATATATAAAGAAATATGTATGTTTAATTGATACCAACGTATTCGGATCGGTAGCTTGATAGTTGATTTTCTTCTGACCGCATAGTTCAGTGTTTGATCTTAGGTAAAAGGCAGATATGTCTTCTATTGCCTTTCAATGGTTCTTCTAACTTTGATGAATAACGCGGCACACTGTTTCTCGCTTCTGTTTTCCCAAATGGTTAGCCTTGTGCCATATCAAGCTACGTTAAATATTCATGGGAAAATAAGCATTTTCTTTTTCCCTCGTCACTTTGACATATATATGATTGTTTTTAAAAGACTATGACGAGATTTTCCCACACGTATGCACACACATGCGAGCGTTTATCATAAAGGAAATTAGCGTATGCTCGCGTCATTTTTTTTTTTTTTGTCTATTATTTTCGTCAACAAAACTTTTTGCTTGCGTCAGGTGTCACCAAAGTACAGAGACCTATTCAACGGGCGATCAAAAAAGAAAAATTGTGTGTTTGAGGCGTATACATTCAAATTATTTGTTTATGACTTTGCGACTCTACGATAGACGAAGGCTTGGGTCACTTGGCACGCATGCGCGTGCACACATACCCCATTCTCCACAATGAACGGAAAACAGAGAGAAGGCTTTCTTTTTCTTTTTCTTTTACTTGTTTGTATTAGTATATAAAATAAAGCTACTGACTTATACAAAATAGAGGTACCGAAGCAAGTAGGTGTTTGTACGCTATACCTGGATAGGTCGGCCAAATTTATTTCTATGTCAGAGTTTTTTAGCTCTTTCTTTTCACCGAAGGCAGTGAACGACGTCATCGGTAGAAAATAAAGAAAAGCAAAAAAAAAAAAAACAAAAAAAAACATGGAGAATAACCAAGAGAACGAAAATCAAGAAAACAGACGATTAAATTGATTTATATTTTTTTTATAATGTTCCATCACTTTCGTAGTTCTGCTTATTTAATTTTTTTTTTTTTTTTTTATCTCTGAGGAATGCCGAAAAGTTCTCGGCTCGACGAACAAGCGATTGTTATTTGATGATTGAGTTAGGTTTTGGGACGAAGGTCGGGTCGTGATCCCATCACCACAACCTCGTATACATCTCTATCTACGAAAGGTTCTTATCCCGACCAAAAAGCGATTAAAACAAAACGGCTTATTTGTTCATTTCGTTAGATTTTGTGAAGTGTGTGGGGACAGGAATTATCAGCAAGCTTTTCGTATCTATCTATCTAGCTATCTATCTATCTATCTATCTATCTCAGTCTGTTCGTATCTATCTCAGTCTGTTCGTATCTATCTCTGTGTGTTCATTATCTATCTATCTATCTATCTATCTATCTATCTATCTATCTATCTATCTATCTGCCAGAAGTTCTGAAAAGTTCTCGGTTCGGCTAACAGACTTAGAAAAATCCGATGATTGGAAATTTTCAGCATTTCCTCGTATCTATCTATTACATTAATTTTTTAATCTAATTATCTATCTATCTATCTATCACATTCTTTTTTCATATGTATCTATCTATTCATCTCTCTCTCTCTCTCTCTCTCTCTATATATATATATATATATATATATATATATATATGAATATATATATATATATATATCACATTCTTTTTTCATATCTAGTTTGTTCCTATCTATCTATCTATCTATCTATCTATCTATCTATCTATCTATCTATCAGAAAGCTTTTTGTCTGAATATTTGTGCATTTTCTTATCTATCTACACAGAGCTTTGCTTCAGACAACTTATAAATCCGCCATTCTTTCTTCCATGTATTTACGTATTAAGATCTATATGCCAGAAAGAACCCACCTTTTTTTTTTACAAGCAATAAAACAACACAATATGAGAGATAAAAATGAGGAACACCAAGAAAAAAAAGAAAGAAAGAAAGAAAGAAAAAGAAATGACAAGAAAACAAGGCAAACACAAAGGACAAGAATTAAAATTCTGATTCCTTCACCGTACTTCCCAGATCTGTCATATTAGAAAAACATTTCCTCTCTATACATGACAGAAATGTATTCAGCAGGAGGAGGTAGCCGCCATATTGGTTGCTGCTTGTATCTTTGCCAAAAATTGTATTGTGGGATGCGAAGAAAATAGAAGAAAAAAAGAAAACATTCTTGTATGATTGCTCGTGGCTTCGGGCAAAGGCAGCTGGCGTCGTTCGGACCAGACAGTAGGCATTATTCTCTTTCGTAATGAATTCAAACAAGAGTTTTGCATTTTGGCGACTTTGTTCAACCGAGACACGAAAATGTACTGAAAGGAAAAAAATGAAAAAGAAAATAAAAAAAATGAAAAAAAAAAATGCAAAAATTTAGAAAAAGAAAAAAATGATTGAAAATATATAAACCAAATCGAAGAAGAAACTGGAAAAAAATGCGACATTAGTTACTGAAAAAAGAACCTTATTAAGCCGACACACACATACATAGAAAATGAATGAAAACAGTTTTTATATATATATATATATATATATATATATATATATATATATATATATGGATAATCGATGAAGAGAAAACTATTTGAAACAATATAGGTATAAGGATAATGGAAAAAAAATGAATGCAATTAGAAAAATAAAGTAAATTTAAGAAATAGGAAATTACTTTCTCTCTATATATCTATATATACACAGGCGCATGCGCGCACACACAGACATGCACACACACACACATGCACACACACACACATATATATATATACCAGTCTATTCAAATATATCGCTCTCTCTCAGTCGCTTCATATCTATCTATTTATCGATCTATTTATTATCTATCCCTCTATCTCGCTATGTATCTAATGCCAGTCTATTCATATCTATCTATCTATCTATCTATCTATCTATCTATCTATCTATCTATCTATCTATCTCGCTATGTATCTATGTCAGTCTATTCATATCTATCTATCTATCTATCTATCTATCTATCTATCTATCTATCTATCTAAACGGTCTGGAGTTGGAAACTGGAGAGCCGAGTTCCAATTTCTGTCAGGTTCTTTATATTCAGTTACGCACAAATAACTTTCGGAATGTTATAGATCCATCTTTTTTTCTATCTCAACAAACAAACAAACAAACACGCACGCGCGCGCATCTACCCGTCGGAATATTCGAGAAATCTTGTCAGAAAATAAAAAGAAAATTCTGACAAGAGAAATCAATAGTTGAATAAAAATACGGTTTAATTAAAAAGGGACTTTATCAAGACAAATGTAAGGCTTTTATTTTGCAACATTTATAGACAAGTGCAAAAATGTGAGATTTGCAAAATTTGAAACGCTCGTGAATAGGTTTGTTGAAAAGTCTACATACCTTATGGCGGATGCTACGTGATTTAATTTAATGTCAAATAAATGAAAGTGAGTAAAAGATGTTCTTGAAATTTTTTATGCAAAATTATATCAGAATCATTTAAGTTTGGTATTAATTTGTGTATTGGGGAGTTTAAATGACATGAAATTATGAATTTAACCGTTTTCTTTTAGATTTTTGAACATTTTTATATTCATGTCTGTTGACTTTGGAAAATATAAATTCTTTCAGGAATGGACATATTTGAAAATATGATTGAGATATGGCGCAGAATTATATTTTGATAAGATACGATACCAACACTCTCAAGAATTTTCCGTCTAAGTAAATTAATTTATCTTTGAATAAGTGTGACAGTCTTTAGGTCAAAGTTGTCGTTGAATTTATTTCTATGTATAACTAATGCATTTAATAAATTGTTGTGTATTAAGTCCCTTTTATGTTCATAGACACGTTTTTTAAAATTTCTGCAAGTTTTCCACTATGTATTGTGAGGAGCACTTCTGTCAGTTTATATATATATATATATATATATATATATATATATATATATATATATATATATTTCAATTCTGGTATATGAATGAAATTGGTTAGACGGAACTCTTTTACAATCGTCGAAAGTTATGCTCTCACGAAATCATTTTCAAGAAAGAAATCATAAGTCATTTTCAAGAACACTGTTTTATCCGTGTGGTAGGCAAGAATAATAATTAATGTTAGTGAGCATTACGGATATCTCTGAGGAAAAAATAAGAATTGTCCAGATATATACCAAACATAACATTTATTCTACTGAGAAACAATATGTACCATACAAAACTTTTATATTTTCTGTATGTTTTTTTATGGATCGATGAAAGTTCTGCTTTCAAAAAGGTTCGACATCTGGTGTCAGAAGGAGGACAAAAATGTCCTAGTTGTTTGTCCACGTCCTGCATGCGAAAAGAGACTAGAAGTTTCACATCTCCCGCTGAGGTAGCAGGAAGACGGGCCGTGATTGGACGGCTTTGTGACCAATCCGGATCTTCCTTACATATAGAGTGTGTGTGTGTGTGTGTGTGTGTTTAGCGTGTAACTGTTAAAGTATATCTGTGTGTATTAACTAATCACACACACGAACGCACACACACACACACGAACACACAAACATACATTTAAGCTAAAAGTTCAAAGTCTAGAAAATGCCAAGAAAAATGAATTATTCTAAAACAGAAATAAACAGAACCTTAAACCCTACTGCTGCTAGGTGTGTGTTTTTTTTCTAGTATGTGACCAAGTTAAAGTATATCTAGGTGTGTTAGCCGATCACACACGCATACACACACACATACACGAATAAACACATACGCACGCAGGCACACACATGCACGCAGGCACACACACGCACGCAGGCACACACACGCACGTACAAACATGCACGCACAAACACACACACATTTAAGCTAAAATTTCAAACTCTAAAAAAATGCCAAGCAAAATGAATTCTTTTAAAGCAGAAATAAACAGATCCAGAATCCTTTCTTTGACAGATCAGCAAATAATGATCAGAAAGCCGGAATAAACTAGCAGAGACAAAAAACCAAACAATAGAATATCGTCAAGAGAAGGAAATGATAAAAAAATTATTGTTAAATAAATATACAAACAACATTCTAATCAGGTAAATAGGTTCTATTGACTTAAGGATCCATTAAAACAGTTTTCATACTTTGAGTAGTTTTTATTGCATTAATTTATTGATTTAAAAAAAAAAATCCAGAAATTTCGATTTTTATCCATTCCTTTATCTTTCGACTTTTAATGCTTTAAAAAAAAAAAAACACTTCATTCTCGCTTTTCCCCTCCTTCTTCTCTCTTAAGAAACCATTTCTTCCTCGCTTTCCCCCTCCTCCTCTCTTTTAAGAAATCACTTCTTCCTCACTATTCTCCCTCATCCTACTCTCTTTTAAGAAATCACTTCTTCCTCGCTTTCTCCCTCATCCTACACTCTTTTAAGAAATCACTTCTTCATCGCTTTCCCCTCCTCCTCTCTTAAGAAATCACTTCTTCCTCGCTTTCTCCCTCATCCTACTCTCTTTTAAGAAATCACTTCTTCATCGCTTTCCCCTCCTCCTCTCTTTTAAGAAATCACTTCTTCCTTGCTTTCTCCCTCCTCCTCCTCTCTTTTAAGAAACCACTTCTTTATCGCTTTTCCCCTACTCCTCTCTTAAGAAATCATCGTTTTCCCTCTCCTCCTCCTCTCTTTTAAGAAATCACTTCTTCCTCGCTATTCTCCCTCATCCTACTCTCTTTTAAGAAATCACTTCTTCCTCGCTTTCTCCCTCCTCCTCTCTTAAGAAATCACTTCTTCCTCGCTTTCTCCCTCATCCTACTCTCTTTTAAGAAATCACTTCTTCCTCGCTTTCTCCCTCCTCCTCTCTTAAGAAATCACTTCTTCCTCGCTATTCTCCCTCATCCTCCTCTCTTTTAAGAAATCACTTCTTCATTGCTTTCCCCTCCTCCTCTCTTAAGAAATCACTTCTTCCTTGCTTTCTCCTTCCTCCTCCTCTCTTTTAAGAAATCACTTCTTCCTCGCTTTTCCCCTCCCCCTCCTCTCTTTTAAGAAATCACTTCTTCCTCGCTTTTCCCCTCCCCCTCCTCTCTTTTAAGAAATCACTTCTTCTTCCTCGCTTTTTCCCCTCCTCCTCTCTTTTGTTTTACGTTTCATTTTTCCTTCTTTCCATCAAACCAACATTTTTTTCTTATCACGTGTTCTTAATTTCTTTAACTCTTAGATTTTTTCCCTCTATCTATATATAAAAAAAAATAACTTCTGTTATTCTCCACTATATTACAAATTATTTTTTACATTTTTCCTTTAGATATTTTTAAAACATTTTTTTTTCTTTTTAAACCTTTTTATCTTATTCTCTGTTTTGTTTTTTTCCCTATTGTTTTGATTTTAGTTCGGCTATTTTTTTTTTTTGGTTATTTTTTTTATTGTCGGAGAGTGTTTAGGTTTAATGATAGTCTGTTTACCAATTTCCTATATAAGAACGAAAAAATAAATTACGAAAGAAAAGAGATTTGAAAGGGAAACATAGAAATAGAACGATAAAAAAAAAGGTTTATTCGTAAGAAATCAAATCAAAAATGGAAGAAATACGTCTGTATCTTTTCTCTTGTATTCCGTTTTCCCCCTCCCCCGTAACCTCATCTGTTATGTCCGTCTGTAAGAAATGGTTTCCATTTAGTTTTGCTGATATTTCCAAAGACCAAAATGTATATGGGGTATTTTGGGACATATGTTTCTGTCTTGGCGCGACCATTTCTATTAAAATCTCCCGAAATGTAAAATATACGTCCGGAAAGTATCCGTCCGTTCAATATTAACGTGAAAATAGCCTACCTAGGGAAAAGGCTCATTAGTCACTTTTAGATTCAAAGTTATCCGCTACCGACTTCACACATTTTATCCCAGTATTATTTTTCATAATAAAAAACAAAATAAAAAAAAATAACTCCTCTTTCGGGATTGCTATAAGCTGTCTCGTTCTTTTCTTCTTAATCTCGTCCGCAGATTGAATTCTCCTTTTCAACAGCGATTTTTACCAAGACAAGTAATAGAATTCGTTTATTAATACAGGGTATTAGTACAGGTGTACATATGTACATTATACAAGTCAAAAAATGATTTAGTATTTTGTTGGGTAAACTTGTGCTTTAATAAAGGCCTTAATACTTCGTGGCATGCGATAGACTAAATTCTAGTCAGAGTCTTGACCTTAACCCAATTAAAAATCCTTTGGACGATAATCCTTTCATTCTCTTTCACTACTCACAGTAGTCCCCTTTTGTCTTAGGGGCATTATTGCCTTCCTTCTGGTGAATATATATATATATATATATATATATATATATATATATATATATATATATATATATATATATATATATATATATATATATATATATATATATATATATATATATATATATAAATAGAGTTCAATCGACTTTACTAACCGAAACGCTTCTCTGTGGCGAAATCGGTAAAAGCAGGTTCGATTCCTGTCGGAGGACGCATATTTTCTATGAGAATTTCTCGGACATTCAGGCCGGTAAATGTTGTTAATTCTGTTTATTATAAACAGAGCGTTTACTTAAATATTTGTATCTAAGCAAAGAATTAAGAAACATGAATATCAGAAACAAAAAAAAAGTGTACTGAACTGTTGAGTAATATCGGTCCTCCAATGTGGCAGTGGGTGCTGGAAAATCTCCTCACAAAGGAAGGAGAGTTTCCAAGCAAAAGAAATGTTCTACAGAAGGATGCTGAGAATACCATGGACCGAACATGAGCAATCACGGTGGTTGAGAGAAAATGCAAACGAAAAGGACACTTATAATGAATATCAGAAACAGATAGTGTAAATTCTATGGCTCATATGAGGAAAGAGAGTTTAGAAAATTTGACACACGGAGGTCATTTTGAAGGTAGCAGTAACAGAGGAAATCATCAGATAACCTACCTAATTTGCTTATGTAAATGTTTGGCAGAACAGGGATTAGGAGAAATAGCGAAAAGCCAATATTTTTTAAGAGTTACAAAGGACAGGAAATTGTGGAGAGCCATGATCGCCAACGTCCTGAAGAGATACGGCACAGAGAAGAAGAATACATGCTTAAAAGCTGGAACCTTTCAGATTAATAATTTGATGCATTTTGAAATGCCGTGTAATTTTTGTCTTTCTGTATAAATGGGTAAGTTTATTTTAAATTGGTATCCTTTAAACAAGGTTTTAGTAAGTTTGGTTGTCAGATCAGGGCTCAGAGAAGATAGTAAAAAAGACGGAATTTAGTAAAAGCTACAAAGGGCAGGAAATTGTGGAGAGCCATGATCACTGACGCCTTGAAGGGACATGACACGTAAAAGAAAATGTAGCGGAAGAACGACTTAAAAATAATTTCTCATTTTTACCAACATGGGTAAACTAACACCAATATAAAATTCTACTGGACATAAAGTGGGGTATCAGTTTTCTGTTGTGGTTACATAATAAACAGATGCCCCATAATTACGACATGTTAGGAAACTTATACTTATCATCAGGAAGAGGCAGCTGAAATTTCTGGGAGACTTAATGAGGAAGGAGTGCTTGGAAAATCTGATACACACAGGACGGATAAAGGGAAAGCAACGCGTGACATAATGGATGGCAAAGCAGGGTTTGCGAGAAATAATAAAAAGACAAAACTTATTAAGTTTTATTTAAACTTATTTATTTGAATCCAGTGACAGGACCCAAAGAGTGTGAGTTCAATACCCGGTTAAGGCAGTGGAGAATTTGGAGAGGGGAATTAACAGGAGATAACTGATAACTGACGTCCATTAAACATGGAACGTGGAACTAGAACAGTCTACCCCAGTGAGCGAAATAATGGGTTAAGTTCGACATTCCAACCACCTGAAGAAGGCCGGAGCGTACAACGGCCGAAACGTTGTAATAAATATGGCGACAAAGATGAGGACAATAGTCCGAATAATGTAAATAATGTACATAATGCCTCATCTCAGAAATATAGACAGAACCAGTTTGTCTTATGATCGCAAAAGCGTGAAACACGGGGTTACAAACTAATATCCATGCAACTGAATATGTTGACTCTATCACAGATATTGAGCACTTTTCAATAACTACCACGCATATATATATATATATATATATATATATATATATATATATATATATATATATATGTGTGTGTGTGTAAATACACACACACACACACATATATATAGTGGTATATATTTGTACATAATCCAAGTGGCTCTAATAATATAAATATTAACACTGATTCACAAAGAGAGCTCAATGTATATATTCAACAGAGCATATAAATTACATACAACAGGAATTAAAATTACCCTATGTTAGGATCATTTCACCTTACAAGTTAAGATTTAATTGCAAGGATTTTAAAACCGATCAAGGTAATAAAATATAACTAAATGCTTTAGTTTTCATTCGGTTTGAAAATCATTACAGGTAATCTCAATCTGTAAGGTGAAATGATCATAACATGAGGTAATTTGATTCCTATTGCATGTAATATATATATATATATATATATATATATATATATATATGTGTGTGTGTGTTTGTGTTGCGGGAAGGGAGTGAAAATATAATCGAAAACACCGTTTTTAATAATATATCAAATTTGCTTGGTAAATATGCATTTATAACCAATTTACAAAAAAAATGGGATTATCTGGATAGCGGTGAATGCTGGACAATCTCCTCAAAGATGAAGAAGAGATTCAAAACACTCGACATGTGTTTCTACAGAAGGACGCTGAAACTCAATCGACTGAAAATATGAGCAACAACGAAGTTTTAGAGAAAATGGAAACGAAAAGGAAACTTATACTTAACATCAGGAAGAGAGAGTTGAAATTTCTAGGGCACATAATGAGGAAAGTGGGCTTGGAAAATCTGATACTCACAGGACAGATTGAAGGCAAGTGGGCCAGACGAAAATAACACATAGCATACCTAATGAGCTTCAGGAAATGGATAGCGGAACAAGGTTTAGGAGAGATAGCAAAAAGTCAAAATTTTATTAAGTGCTAGGGAAGATAGGAAGTTGTGGAGAGCCATGATCGTTTACACCCTGAAGGGAAACGGAACATAGAAGAAGAAGAAGAATGAACTTGAGTAAATGGATGGCGGAACAAGGTTTAGAGGCGATAACAAAAAGACAAAATTTTTTAAGAGCTACAAAGGACAGAAAATTGTGGAGAGCCATGATCGTTTACATCCTGAAGGGACACGGAACATAGAAGAAGAAGAAGAAGAAGAAGAAGAAGAAGAAGAAGAAGAAGAAGAAGAATGAGATTGAGTAAATGGATGGCGGAACAAGGTTTAGAAGAAATGACAAAAAGTCAAAATTCTATTAAGAGCAAGGGAAGATAGGAAATTGTGGAGATTCGTGATTGCCTACGTCCAGACGGGACACGGCACAAAGAAGAAGAACTAGACAAAGAAGAAGAAGGTACTTTTAAGATGACAGCGAAAAGATTGTTGGCTCATATGACGTGTCCATATCATTTCAACACTTCTTGATTGTGAATATGAGGATTTCTAACGAACTTGTTTCTTGCTTGAGGATGTCTCACATTACGATTGGGTTGGTTTAGTTTCACGAAGGAAGCGTACATTCGGTTCTTACAAACGTGTTTGTATGAAAAATATTTATAAATCTTCTGTTCTTAAAGACAAACTGTGATTCTGAAGAATCACGAAGCGAAAAATGATTTGAAACTATGCCGGAAAACTACTCATATACTTGAGATACGCATAAAAAAATGTTGTATAGTAATTGGAGAACTCTGTCGATAAGAATCTTTGGTGTTCTTACGGCAATTGCAAGTGTACTTAATCTAAACAAGACAACATGTGTAATCCTGAACCTAATAAAACTATAAAGCATTTTCTGGGGTAATTTCCGTTTTCTCTTTAAAATTGAGCAAATTGATATAGGAACCAGGTGGCATTGTTTTTTGACACGCCAATTTAATTTTTATATTTGGAAAGCAATCACACAGACAAAAAAACAATTAACTTTCTTTCTTTCTTTCTTTCTTTCTTTATTTGTTCATATCTATCTATCTATCTATCTATCTATCTATAAGGAGTTGTGAAAAGTTCTCGGACGGCGAACAGGGTTAAAAATCTGATTATTGATCATAGTGTCAAATCGGGAAATTTTCAGCATTTCCTTCTATCTATCTATCTATCTATCTATCTATCTATCTATCTATCTATTGTAGCATATCTTCTGACGATAATGGATATGTCCCCATTCACATTAATACAGTAGTACATACTGTATGTTGGTCTGCAGCTGGAGATTCATTGAGGAATACACTTGACTCACTTCTAGCAGTTGACTACTACTTCTACGTGCCGCTGGTGAATCTTATATATGTTGTTCTTGTCCTAAGTATTACCGTTCATTACCAACCTTCGTGCGATTTTCTATTCAGTAACCTTCCCTAGGTCACAAAACTATCAATCTCAGTCAGTGTTTATCTATCTATCTATCTATCTATCTATCTATCTATCTATCTAACTATCTATCTACAAGGAGTTCTGAAAAGTTCTCGGTTCGACGAACACGGTTAAAAATCTGATTATTGCTCATAGTTTCAAATCGGGAAATATATATAGTTTGTTAAAGGGGATGTTTGACACGATGTATATATATATGAACAAGCCGAGATAGATAGATATGAACAGGCCGAGATAGATATGAACAGGCTGAGATAGATAGATAGATAGATAGATAGATAGATAGATAGATATGAACAGGCTGAGATAGATAGATAGATAGATAGATAGATAGATAGATAGATAGGTAGAATGACGTCCCCAGCCCTGCTGCTCGTTCCCAGCCCTGCTGCTCGTTCCTCGCTCATTCGTTCGGGTGTCGCCGCTCCATACGTGACGTCCGCCTGTCTGCGTCCGTCGTGCTATCCCGTCCCGTGACGACCAGCTGGCTTGGTATCGGTCGCGGTACCCAAATGTGACGTTCTAACTTTTTGGTGATTCGGATGGGAATCTGGTTAGATTCGGTATCAGCCTCGTCGTTCCCAGCTCGCTTCCAACGTCTGGTTACCGAAGTAACTGCTTTGATTTCTAGTCTAACCTACCCACGTTGTGAATTGATCTCTGGCAGACGAAATCAATCAGTCGCTGGGCCCGTACTGCAAGCTGAGTTCGAATAAGGGTGATATCGCACAAGTATGTGTAAAAGAAAATAAAATAATAATTCGAAAGTTCAAAGGTATCAAAAAAAGGATAACAATACTTTATATCTGGTTGCTGGATACATAGGACTGCGTCTATCTCCCGACCCGCTATATGGATTCGTGACACGTTGTTTTTGTTAGGCGAGTTTTAACATCTTAAGTTGTCTGTTCTTTAAGAAACTGGTTCTTGATGTGTCTTCAGGCGATATTCGTAAAACTTGTTTTGGTGGTATGAGTCTAAGTCGCTCTTCAAAAATAAATTGTTCTTGGATTGAAGATGAGTTCGGAATTGCGTGAATCTTTCAAGTCAGCTATCTGCGTGGTGGGTCTTCAGAGCTCTCAACTTAACTCGAACTCACTAGAAACTGAACTGAACTGATTTTCGCTCGCTGCGACTTTGCTTATATGGACGCCGACCAAAACCGGGGTGGGCCTTGTCGGGGTTTGAGGTTCCTTGATAATTCCAAATCCACAATCCCCTTCTTTTGTTTTCGGTCAGGAAAAATTTATTATTTCCATTTTTGGAAGTCTTCTCTTACCCCCACCTTCTTTCGTTGTCATATGGGTCTCTTACTATACCCTCAGAAGGCGTCTACGGTTTTCCTACTCCTTCGCAGTAACATCTCATCCTATCTCCTTAATGGGTGGTGGCAGGCCTCCCCCCTACGTCACATGATCACCTCCGCCTGGCTCTCGTTAACATTCATCCAATGGGCGATCAACAGTGTGGGTGTGACCAGACTAGCCTTGTTTTTTCTTTTTAAAATATCTTGCTCAAAGAAAAAAAAATTATCTCCTCTTGTTCTTTTTTTCTATTTCCTTTCTTTCTTTTCTTTTCTCTCTACTTCTCTGGCCGCCAACAGAACAATACGACCCGTAGTGTGATAATCTCAATTCTTATCCCAAAGTCACTTTCATATGGACCTCGTCAATCAGATTTTCGCCAGAACCAAGTGGCTGGCCAAACAGACGCATTCACTTCTCGGCGCCAACCACTGATACTATGGCACGACTTCGCCATTTTTCTGATAATATTGTTTCGCTCATAGTCAAATTTCAATACAAAACAGACACCTTGTCTAACGATATCTTTCCATCGACAAAGACTTAACCTAGGGTTGGGTTCCCTCTGTGTGTGGTCAGGACATTCTTATTAAATTTTTATCTCTTTAGAACTCTGTGGAGGCCCCAAATGGCATTCCCGTAACACAGTTAAATGTTTATCTATTCTGTCCCGGAGGTTAGCTAGCCAATCTGGAATTTGTCAAGTGGCCATAAAAATTTTCACCATTCTCCATTATCAAAATAACATCGCTAAATGCCCCTTTTGTGATGGCTTTCCTTTATCATCTAAGTTTCAACTTTCGCCTCTCTTTTTCTTTCCCTTCTTTTCTTCCTTTTCATTGCAGCCCTAAATGGTGTCACATAGATAGATAGATAGATAGATAGATAGATAGATATGAACAGGCTGAGATAGATAGATAGATATGAACAAGCCGAGATAGATATGAACAGGCTGAGATAGATATGAACAGGCTGAGATAGATAGATAGATAGATAGATAGATAGATAGATAGATAGATATGAACAGGCTGAGATAGATTGATAGACTGTATGTACAAAATGAGATAGATATGAAAAACTTAGATAGATTATATGATCTATCTATCTATCTATCTTGCATGAAATAGCCGCTACCATATACAAATCGAACAATGAATCCCTGAACTAAAGAATCTCTGTTATTAAAGGTTGAGAATCCTTTATCTGAAATTCTTGGGACCGGAAGTGCTTCGGTCTTCAGATTTTTTCAGATTTTGGACTACAGGCTATTTAACTTCTATTAAGCAATCTATAAAATAGGGCAGCTTGGGAATTGAACGCAAGCACGATATGCCTTTACAGTTCATAACGCAGCTTATATATACACTTTGAAGATAGTTTCATATAAGCGGCATATGTTCATTCCGATGCTGACGAATCCACTTCATCAATACACGATCGAGATCGTCATTTTTTGTTCTGGCCAGTGTTTTTTTTTTTCTATTTTTCATTAATATCTTTTCATCACTTTCAGCAGAAAACTTTCACAATTTCTCCATCGGTTTCCTTAGATCGTACATGACGCGATTGTTCCAACGCCAAATTCCCCAGATGCTTCATACTTACACCCCTGTCTAGTTTTTCAAACAGTTTGACTTTCTGTGATATTAATAAACAAAAATGCTTTCTTTATTTTTCTTTTCATTGCCCATATGGATATCTGCAGCACTTTTTGACATTTTGAATAATATCTTTATTGAGCACGAAATACTGGTAAGTTATCCACGAACAAATGGGTCGTTGTGACGATCGCTAATAAGAAAAAAAAAATGGCGGCAACGTTGGCTACGTAGCTGGGCTGGCGAACCGACACACAGGGCAGATGCAGCTATTTACAACAGCTGCATATCATCTAGGAACCTATCTTGTGCTTTCTGAAATATTTCATTTGTGGCAAGTCATGTCAGCACCTGAAAAAAGTTCGGATTTAGGAGGTGTTTGGAATTTGTAATTTCAGATAAAGGATACTCAACCTGTAATTGGGCACCTCGAGGTGGTGTAATGGTTAGCAAGCTTGTCTCGCTAGAACAATTTCGGGTGAGTAGAGAGTTCAATCTTCACTGGGTGCCCCTTACTTTCGGCCTTGTGCCACATCCAAGCTACGCTTGGAAAATCACTACTCCACCTGTAATAATAACAAATGTCGGCCTTACCTCGTATTCAAGAATTGATTTTTTTTCTTTGCTGATCGCTTCCAGAATGATGATGGCGTCGATGACTACATTCACCGCCAATGAGCAGCTTTAGGACTAGAATCTTCCCTTTCACCAAAACCTACCTTTGTGACACTATTAAAGTGTCACTGGTAGTCTTTGAAAGGAAATGTGACATAGGATTAAAAAGGGTTCATGTAAAAAACCCCGGACATAATTGGAGCATTGGAAGGGCTGAAATGTTGAAATAATTGAGGTAAAAAGGTTGTGATATGAGATCGGGAAAATAATTATGAAGCATGATTTTCTTGGACAAAGAAAATTGTTTAAACAGAATTGGAATGTAAAAAAGTAGAAACATTCCTTTTGCTGGTTTGAAATGAATTTGTTTTGATAAAAACAGTCGACTGTCGCAGGCAATATTTAGGCTATATTTGAAATGTAAACAGAAAGATCAAATATAAATAAATTGGTGTGTGTTTTGAAAATGGACAAAAGAATTGTTAGAGGTCATGATTTGGTACATCAACAACCAGAAGAAATTGCTGATTGGAAATAAATTTATTGACAAGAAATAATTTGTTTGGAGAAAGAAAGGATTTCTAAAAGCAGAATGAATGCTTTGCTGATGTGGAATAAACTTTTATACACAAAAATTTATAACATAAACAATAATTGTTGGGTAAGAGGAATGTAAAAAGAAAGTTTATATTGTTTTAAATAGTTGACCAATTTATCGAGAGTCAGCTGCTGTCATTCCAAGGTCGAAGAAAATGAATATTAATGAATCTGGAGGCGTGGTCGGAATGGAATGAAATACATATAAACCGTACGCTACTTGAAGCAGTGAGTTGGAGCAGTCGTAGTTGAGCGGCCAGAGAGCGCTCGATCCCGGCGATGGGCCGGAGACGCTGGAAGAAACCACGTGACCTACCGTCGAAGAGTATTGCTGACGTGGAGAATTGAAGACTGGAATTACCGACCGACAGAGATCTTCATTTTAATTGCCCTCCGCGCGCTGGCAATTTAGAAAGAGAAGGTTCCTTGTTACTAGATTCCACGGGAAGGGTTAATTTTTTTTTTAAATTTTCACCCCAAGCAAGGTGGGCGTGCCACTGGCACACAAGGGGTTACAGAAAGTGGGAGCAAGAGTAAAGAGGCGTGAGAGAGGAAAGGAGGAAGAGAAGGACGGGGAATAGATCAAGGCATCTGATTAGCTGGAGATTATTGCTATCAGGGAAACAAGTACGAAGAAGGGAGTTCCACAGACGGGAAGTGCGAGACATGAAGCTATTGGAGTAGAATAGACGGCTACATTTAACCGTTTCGACAATGAAAGGGTGGGACTGAGATGCCAACCTAGTGGCCCGTTTAAATTCATGCAATTTGGGAACTATCAAAAATAGCACGTCGGAACAGTTACCGTGAAAGTATTTGTAGAAAAGACAGAGGGAGGCGACGGCATGTCTGTGAGAGTCCGACTGTAAACGAGATGCCAGATCAGAGCCAGTCACATTGCATATCGGTCTCTGGATTTTGCCGAGGACCCTAAGACGAACAGCGGGTGTTCCAGACCATATATGGCAGCAGCATTCCATGCAAGGGCGAATGGTTGATTTATAGATTTGAAGGATGGACTTGGGCGAGAAAAACTTTCTGGCGCGAGTTGAGAACCAACTTTCCTTGCAGTAGATGAAGCTATTGATTCAATGTAATTATTCCATCAGAGGTCAGCGGACAGTGTGATACCAATCAGGCGCAGAGAGGTGTTCTCGTGGAGTTGAGCATCAGATATTCTAACGGAAGGTAGGGATGGTTCTCTGTGGTGGGTAATAGAGAGCAGTTTTGTTTTTGAGGCATTAAAGTTAACCAGCCATCTCCTCCCCCAGTCAGCAACCGATTGGAAGTTCTTTTCGAGACTATGGGACAGGTTAATTTTGTCAGTGATACCAAATTTGCTGTTTAGGCAGGAGTAAATAGTGGGGTATCGTTAGCATAGATGCCTACTTGGGTACTGATGACATCGGGAAGATCGTTAATAAAGATAAGGAACAGTGTAGGGCCAAGGATAGAACCTTGCAGAACACCTGCGTTCGTGAGAAAGAAACTGGAGGAGAATCCGTTAAGGACGACCTTCATTACACGATTTGACAGGAATGGTTGTATTGTTAAATAATCTTCCTCAGATACCGTATCCCTGAAGCTTACGAAGGAGGCCGGCATGCCAAACCCTATCAAACGCTTTAGAGCTTTCTAGAGCCACAGTACGAGCTTCTCCGTTATTGTGTAGTGCTTAGTAAACAAATTCAGTTATAGCCGTGAGCACATCAGCTGTAGACCGGGCAAAGCGGAAACCATATTGTTTGTCAGAGAACAGATCATGGGATGTAAGATGATTAACAATTTCGCCGTTGATTAAAGCTTCAAAGACTTTGCCGAAGAGTGGTAAGAGACTGGTAGGACGTTAGTTAGATGAGTCAGAAGGGTCGTCAGAGTTTTTGAAGACAAGTTGAAGACTTCCAACAGGATGGAAAGTAAGAGTCGTTGAGGCAGTAGTTGTATAGTTTAGAGTGGATAGGAGCCAGTTCAGGAGCACATTTCTTCAGGACAATGGCTGGTATCCCGTCCCCACAGCTAGCCTTATGGGAGTCTAATTTAGAGATGATGCCCAATACCAACGATGGGGTTATGTGCAAATCGCTCAATAGAGCCTCAGTTCTAGGAGGGAAATCGGATGTAGGTACACCGGACGAGTCGAGCGTTGAATTGAATGAGAATTTTTGAGCAAAGCACTCGCCCTTATCAGCTGAGGAAGTCAGGACCTCAAATTGGTTGAATAAAGGCGGTATTGTGGGTTTGCTGTTGTTTAGTACGCTCTTACAGAGACAGCAGTAATCTTTTGAGCCGAATACGTTGTTTCATTCTATCAGCAAATAGTGATATTGCTTCATTAAGGACATGTTTGCACTCATTACGGACTGAGACAAAGAGACATCTGTTGTAATCTGACATGTCACTACGGTATATGCGGAAGAAATTATTCTTATGGGCAATGGCAGCTGAGCAAGCAGCAGAGAACCAAGAGGATGAGCGTGATTTAACCTTATATTTCCTTGCAGGGATGAAATCCTCGATTCCAGCTTTTACCCAGGTGTAGATCTCAGAAGTGCATTCTTGAACGGGGAGATTAAAGACCACATTCCAGGGGACGAGTCCCAGTCAGCACGTTGATAACAGAAAGATGTTCTGTTAGTAGAAGGTTCTTTGCTGGGGGTGGAATAAAGAGAGATGTTGACAGACACTACAGCAATATCAGAGTTGCCAAGAGGGCAGAGCTGCGTGGCGCGACAGAACTCGGGGATGGGGGAGATGGAGAAGGGAAGTCTTACCGTCATGGTTGTTGAGGAAACGGGTGGGAAAATCAACCACTTGTGTGAGGGATTGAGTGATTGAAAAGTTAAGGGTTTGTATGCCAGCGAGGTCAGTTATAGAGTTTTTAAGTTACTTGGCATGGTGGGCGTCACCGAACACGAATATATGAGCAAACGGATGAAGAGAGATAGCCTTGTCTATATTGTCGGGAATGCTTTCGAGTACTCCATAGTCTTGGGAGGATGGAGAGCGATAAAGGAAGAAGAGGTAGCTTACTGAATTGAGGAGAGATAGACGGAAACACGTGTATGAATGGTCCGGAGATTCGAGAGAGAGAGAGAGAGAGAGAGAGAGAGAGAGAGAGAGATTCCTAGCCAATGGGAGATGGCCCTTGACATAAACTACTAGGACATGCATGTAGGTTTGGGAGTCTTTTCTAAGGAGAGGAAGGTAACCAGAGATCGAGAGGTCAGAGGAGGGAATAAACGAGTTGAAGTCGGTCTCACAGAGAACCAGTATATCAGAAGACTTCTCAATGATGAACGATTCCACACTGCAGAAGTTGGTTCGAATGCCACGGATGTTAGAAAAAGAAATGTTTTTAGGTGATTTTTAAAGCTGGTTTAGGTTTACTTTTTGGATCGTTTGTTGTCATATTGGGTAATGTTGGTAGTGAAAATGAGAAGGCCTGAAGCAGAAGTAGCAGACTTATCTTATGAGGCAAGAGCAGAGAGGAGCTGGCGCGGCCTGCAACATGACGTGGCCTCAGTGTTGCCCACTGGAGGTGTGTGCAGGGACACCCTTCCATGCGCCACATGGCACAATAATAAATATATAAAACCAATTGAAAATTCACCCAGCGACCTCCTTCGTTAGTTATAATTTGTATTTTCACCAGTGGTAGTATCTTTGCCCTTTTGTTTATCATAGCATGGTTCCGTTAGCTCAAATCGGTGCTTAAAGTGCAGACGTAAGTTCGATCTTCACTGCACTGTGATCAATCAATCACAACGTGGGGCAAAACACATGAAGAAACGATAACCATCATTTGACCGGCGCCAGTACTGACCAGTGTGGAAAAGACCCCGAATCGTGTCGGGCCGGTCGTGTTATACCTTCATCCATTACTTGTCGTTTGGCTTTGCAAAATTTTGTTGGAGGTGAAAGAAAATCATAGTAGAAGTAAGTGGATCTCACCTTGCTAGGAAGTGACCCACACACTTGATTTCATGACCTTCCTCTGCGGCACATATGTAATGAGATATGCAGAATTCAATTATGAAACTGCAACGGACTGCCACGAGGGGCGCCTTCTGTAGCATATCCGTCATGCGTAGCCCTTTTCATCCGCTGGTCCAACCGTTGAGATCTGTTGATTGAATTCTATTATTTATCATTTAAACATAAATTATGATAATAGTAGTAAAAATAAGTAGTCCATTTGACTACGTGCTATTTTACTCCGACGTCCAATTTAAAATATATCAGGGTCTATGTATATATGTATGCGTTTGCGTATCAGTGTATCTCTACGAATGGACGTCTTTTTTTCATTGCTCCAAGAGATGCGTTTTTTTTCAGGGAATTGATGAGTGTTTTTTATTTATCCATTTAGTCCTATACTATTTAAGATATCACCAATGATTCGCTAAGTAATGAGCGTACAATGACGACAAAATGTACAAACTTAATAAAAGACAAAGATTTATCTTCAATTTCTTTGTTATTAAGAGGAAAAGTCAAAATATTTTTTGATTATTAAATTATATATTTTGGAACTTTTTAGAACATTCGAAATTTTGGCTAGAGATTTTGTCTTTTTTTTTTGCGTCATAATATAAGAGATTTTAGCATCTTGCAGTGAAAAACTTATTGATTTGGAAATTCTAGCAAAAACCAAATAATTGTTGGTTTTTAATGAAACTTCCAGGCCTTATTCATAAATGAATGAAATTATTTTAGAATTCTTTTCTTTTTTTTTTTTCAGAAAATTTTGATGAAAATATCTTTTTACATCTGTTACCCACGCCTCATTTAATTTTATGAAATTTCGAGAAATTAATTTTTGTACCAATTAACGCTCATATAGTAATATGAGCGTTAATTGGTACACAAATTAATTTATAGCCAAAATTTCTTGAAGAAATAAATCATCAATTACTTTTTCGTAAAACAGGATCCCCAGTTACCGAAAATATGCTCTGAATCGTAAAATAAAAAAAAATATAATAAAACTGATATTATTTAATTAGAAAAGCTTTTAATTGATTTCATGATAAGGCGGCTTTTAAGCTAGACATCTAAAATGAACCTAGAATTTGCTCATAGTTTCTAATTGAATAACTTCGTAGATACGTGATAAAGAGAATGATACATTATGATGGTCGTTTGCATAACCTAAATGCCTGGCATCGTCTCTGAGCGAAATTGACATTATGGCTTTGGGATAAATCCCCACACGGCCGAGTGTTTGTATCGATTCAATGGACCCCAAAACGAGCAATTTGACATCTGACATTTTGACTGAAGCAAGAAAACGTTAATCTTTATGTCAGGACAACTGAAGAGGCGCGTCGATCTGTATTACAAGCTTACGAAAGAAGGAAAGAAGTGTGTGGGAGGAAAAGTCCAAGTATCGACGATCTTTTTGCTGGAGGAACCATGCAAGAAAAAACAAAAACAAACAAAAAAAAAACTGAGAGTAAATGATTTTTTGTAGATATTTCGATTTTGCTTTCACGAACGACGAAGAGACAATTGATATTACTTTGATTGATTTAACGAAAGGAATTTATTCTTCGTTTGATGTCGATGTCTCTGCCCAAAGAACCAGTGAAACATTAGAGAGAATATCTTAGCTAACAAAAAAGAAGTAAAGGAAACTACTAATCCCTAAAAATAAAAAAAATAAAAAAACATGCAAACTACCAATTCTTCAATAAATAATAAGAAACGCTATGAATTCTCAAAAGTATATTTGAATCTACCTGGCGACGGTATTTGTCTTCGGCTGTATTTATCAAAGGAACGTCAGTATTCACTGAAGTTATTCTAATGGCAGGTCACGTTCAGTTAGTGAAACAGTTAAAAAACAAACTAATTCAAATGTTGCTGACTACACATCTGTTATGGGGTCCTCCCCTTTTTCATATAAGTGGACTCGAATAAAGTATTACTTGTACTGCTGCCGTTACATACCCAGAGTTAGACCGTCAGTGAGAGTGAGCAGAGAGAAGACAGAGATTGTGATTGAGTTGGAGGTAGAGTAATAGTGTGAGGTAACCGCTTGTAGAAGTCACAGTTACAAGCACGTAGACTCTAAGGAAGTCCTACTCCGAGACTGTATATATATATATATATGTTATTGCTACTAAACGCGTTCCTGGATTTACTAACAGTATTACCCTTTGTATTATTGTGTAAATACATTTAATTTCTTATATTTAATTCTTGTGTTTGTCATTCATTGGAGACCGAATTTCATCTCGGAATCCACAACAACATCATTGGAGCAATTTCTGTCATTGCGTTTGTCACTTGGAAATCCTAAAACGACATCTTTAAATGCGGATACATTTGCGAATTGATGTGTGAAACACTAAACGTTATACCGATCATGAAAGAAAATTTTATTTGCAGGACCCGAGAAAATGTCATATTTTTCCTTTTACAACAATGTTCATTCTATACAAAACCCAAGTGCCACTCGAGGTAGAAGGTTATAAAGTAAGAGGTTTATAGGGATATTTTGAGAAGATAGCGGTTAACCCTAAGTTTGATGAGGTTAAAATTGTAGAGATCGGGGAAACACTCTTTTGGTTGATTAATTTGTTTTCTACGGCTTTTTTGCAGGTTTTTTAAAGCCAGAAAATATTTTTAGATTGTAAGAATTCTTTTGGGCGATAATAATAGCTTAATGATACAAGTCTTACTAATTAACCCATAGCTGGGAGGAGAAGTGGTGGCTTTATACCTTTCCCCAAGTGAATATAAAGAACCTGACTGGAATTGGAACACGGCTCTCCTATTAACAATTCTGAGCCGTTATCCATTCCCCCACTCACACATCCCAGCTTACAGCGCCTGGTATTCCCAAGTGGTCACCCATCTAGGTACTGACCAAGTTCAACGTTGCTTAATTCCGGTGATAGAACGGGAACCGTTGTTACAACCTGATGAGGCCTCTTGGGAGTCGGTTCCACATAACAGTGAGAAGAAACGGCTTGAGTGGAACTTACATCTCTTCCTATTTAAATTTTCTGGTGACTCATAATTCTTAATTAATAAGCTCCTTGCTAGTTCCACGGCTATAAAATACACATGGACTTTCTCCTATGGCGTCGTTGAATATTTCAGCTTGTTATATTCCGTACTAATAGGAATATATACTTGAAAAACACGGTGGATATAATAAGTAAAGGTTTATTGTAAAACCAGTAGAATAAGAAATAAGGTAACAGTTATGTGCACGATCGTCGCAAGTCAATCCAGTAGTGAGTGCTGTTATTGGAACATCGGTAGTTCTCGTGTAAGTCTCAGTCGTACTCAACAGATCCCAGCAAGTTGATATTTATTTTTTACAATGGTACAAAATGTTGCACAAGGCCAAAGTGGGGATTGGAGAAAAGGTCAGTCTTCTTCTGTCTTAACTTTAAACTTAGCTAGCCACAAACACTGAGCCAAACATACAAACAATATTCCTTACACTGAAACAGCACATTCTTACCTACCTTACTTACTACATCCACCATAATACCTCATTGTCTCCATGAAAATCCTAAATAGTCCCCATATGTACAATTCATTGTCTGTGGGGGGAGGGGAATAAAACAACAATTTAAAAATCCCCAATGAGTATTTACAATATGAATACAATCTATTTACATGAAACTAAACAAAATAATGTTAGTAATAAAAAATCCCACAATCCTTAAATGTGGCAGAAACATCAGTTAACTGGAGGAGATCGATGTGGGACTACATTAATATAAAACATTCATTCATGCCAAGCACTCACACTGACAGGCACTTATTCAGACACAACAACAAATACGAAAACACACACACGAAACGAAAGGCGCCCCGCATCTACCAGAGAACTAACATCACTGACCACCTAACGAGGGAAGGAATGAGAAATTAAACTAAAGAAAAATAGGGACAGAAATATAAGGGGCCAATGAGCATTCATACCCTAGCTAAGTTAACTGAAAAAAAAAAACCAAAGATTTAAGAACAAACCTAAACTAGCCTAATTTCGGGATGGGTTGCCAATGTTTTGAATTCAGAGTTGTCCTTCTCCTTGACCAGTTGCCATCTAAGGCTATAGAACCCAGTCTGTACTGCTATTTTCCCATAGCTGGAGGGAGAAGAAAAGGATTCATACCTTTCCCAAGGGTATATATATATATATATATATATATATATATATATATATATATAAGTTGTATGGATATGAGTTTGCGACCCTGGGTTTCACGCTTTTGCGATCATCAGACAAACTTTGTCTAATGATCGCTTGCCTGAAAGGTTTGACTGATGATCGCAAAACTTATTATGTTAGTTCTATCACTGATATTGACCGCTTTCCACTAAGTACCACGAATATAAAATATAATCCATATGTAATATATATGTTTCTGTGTGTGTGCGCGCGTGTGGGTGTGTGTGTGTGCGCAGAGATAGTCAGTTGTAGATAGATCGATAGATAGATAGATAGATAGATAGATATGAAGAGACTGGAATAGATAGATAGATAGATAGATAGATAGATAGATAGATAGATAGATAGATAGATATGGGGATTTTCTATGCGTAGCTTAGATATGTCACGAGACTGAAAATATGGGGCATCTAGTGAGGATCACACTTACTAATCAGTTGTAATTGTTCAGGCGAGATAGGCTTGCTAACCATTGCACCACGTTTAGGTTCCTCAGTCAGATAGATAGATTTTCTTAATCATTTCACCCCAAGAATGTCAATAAAGCCACTAAGGGTGCTGAGTGCTAGAGAATATGAGAATAAAAAATCACCATTAAGGAGGAAGAACAAGAAAAGAAGAAGAATTAAGAAAACAAAAGATAACGATTGACATTGCATTTACATTTTTAAAGAGTGAAGTTGAGTTTCACAAGTGAGAATTGCGACAGAAGAAACTGATAGCATAGAATTTACGGTTACATCAAGCCATTTCAGCTGTAAAATGAAATGGCTAGATGTAATTGTAAGATAGATAGATAGATAGATAATGACCAGGCTGATAGATAGATAGATAGATAGATAGATAGATAGATAGATAGATAGATAGATAGATAATGGTAATATTAGCTGTTTCCTAATAAGGAAATATCCGGCATTGGATGACAGACCACTCAGTATTGCTTTCAATTGAAATTTATAAAATCTTTCTCTTAAAACAATTTTTCAGGAAAATAGGTTTCTCAAGTCCAGTAGCTGTTATCGCTCTTTCCAGTATTGATGGGGTTTTCCTTCCTAACCGTTTTTGCACTACTATCGTAGTTTATAAAATCTTTCTCTTAAAACAATTTTTCAGGAAAATACGTTTCTCAAATTTTATGATTTTCAACCGTATCACAGGCTGCTCGGTCAATCAATGTCGAATGTTTCCTGCCATTATCATTAGAGATTAGTAGAACAGATACTACACTTAACCAGGGAGTGAAGAAAATGCCTAACTAGAGTAGCAATGGCAGGTCGGTGAATGAATGCTGTATGTTTCCGAACGGCTAATATTGCCATTATCATTAGAGGTGAATAGAACAGATAATACACTTTGATCCCTGCCTCATTGCCAGAGAGTAAACAAAACGTAACACGAGTAGCATTCATTACTCGGTCAATGAATACCAAATTTTTCCTTGTAAGGAAACAGTTAGTATCAACATTATAGGTGAATAGAACAGATACTAGACTTTAATCCTAGCCCGATTGCCCGGAAGTAATAAAAAGTGTAACTCAAGTAGCACTCGATGCTCGGTCATTAAATACTAAATTTTTCCTCAGCTAATATTATTAATGCTCTTATCGAATCATTTTCGTTTTTTCTTTCTTTCCATTTTCCTCCATCGCATTCTTTCTTCTCTACTGAGCATCCTTCTTTTCGCTTCTCCTCCCATCTGTTTCGTTCATAATGTTATCGTTTCCTTCTTTGTTGCATTTTCTTTTTTCTGCTGTATATCCTCTCTATCCTCACCCCACTGTCTGCTCCAGTTTCATATGCCCCCCTCCCTCCAAACACTTACCTTGGCACTTTCTAAGTTTTCAACTGCTTTGGGCCGGAGCCGCAAATCAGTGCCAAACAATTTTACACAGAATCAACTGACAACCTTGTTTGTATCACAACACTAATAAACCAAGAAACACTAAAAAACTAATCAGACTATCAAAACAATAAACACTTTCACTAATAAACCAATAGGCCTACAAACAACACTTTTACTTGCAGATATAAATTAAGTAAAAATAAATCTCAAAGAAAATAACATAAAGAACACACACACACACACACACACACACACACACACACACACACACACACACACACACACACACACGTGTATCTTTACAGCGAGGTTCACCATTTACAAGGCCCGGTTTCCACTCGAGGTAGAGGGTTACGTTTAAAGGCCATTTATGTGTATAGGCGTGGAAGACAACGGTTTACCCCAACCTTACACAGGTTATATATATATATATATATATATATATATATATATATATATATATATATGTATATATACACACTTGTGTAAATTGAAACAAAACAAAATAATTCCGTTAATATGCACTGTATGTGTATGACTACACATATATGTGTATGTGCATAACTAGATATATATATGTATGACTGTACATATATATGTACTTATATGACTGTACACATACACACGCGCGCGTACGCACGCACACACACACACACACACACATATATATATATATATATATAGGTAAAATGAGAACAAATGGAGTACAATTTCACTGTAATTTAACATTTAATTTAAAAGAGGGCCCAATACAGAATAGAGCTAAATATTATTTATTTTAGGATATTAAAACAAAAACATGTTAAAGATCGCTACACAATGGCAATTATGTTTCAACGCTACAAATATGTCTCCTCGGGCGATGGTAAACTACTGGCGAGTGAGCGATTAATTTAATTTCAAAAGCAGAATACTTCCTCTGTTTTTCGAGAAAAAAAAGCAGAATTAAAAATAGGCTTGTGGGCGTTGCTCTGATTAATCAATTGAATGTGACCTACACTAAATTTAAACTCACCGAAAAAAATTATTATATAGGTCATGACACGAAGTTGTCTACATATAAATTCTAAAAAATTTCATTATGGACAGATACAAATAGTTACATTATTTCGTATAGAAGTCTGGTGTTCAACTTTCCGAAGAAGTAAAAGCGAAAGTGGTAGGGAGGTAATTTAACCTAATGCTAACTACTTTATATGCTAGGTCCGTTTCCTACATAAATGTTTGTAGTTGATAAATAAAAGCCCCTTTAAGAATAAATAAGTTAACACCTGAAAAAAAGATAAAAAATACAGAACTACTTTGGCAAATTAATACGCAACCTTTAAATAAAGAGCATCCACATAAGATGTAAATAATACTAACTAACCATCAATACAGAGCTATATTAAATCAAAATGAATCTTACAAATAGAATAGTAAGCCATATAAGGTGCACTGCAGTTCATCTATTGATTATTACTGTAAGAAAAAGTATTATGAAATTCAAAGTTTAAACATATTAAACGTAAGGTAAAAGTTAGTGTATGCCTACAATTTACAGTCAATTCACTTCTTTGGTTTAATAAGAAGTTTTTATCAGAAAATCTGATAATTTTCAATTTTTCATGTAAGCATAGAAAGCAGGCTTCATATAAAGATCTACATGTTCTAGCTTTTTTTTTAAAAAAAATGTCCATTGTATCTTAAGAGTTTTATTAGCTTTTTTAAATTCCCAAAATATTTAGAAAGTGATGTACTATTTTTATAAGTACTATTGGGGAAGAATAGATTATGGTGGTACCACCTAGTCTTAAAAGAATTCTTAGTATTACCAATATAAAATTTTTCAGTCGGATTCTCTATTGTAGAAATAGTACTTAGAGAGTTGGTTAAACATTTGTTTCTTAACGGAC